TATCTAACAAAAAAATTAATTAAATTTTGTTCTTCAATATTTGTTAGATACCCTATCTTCGGCTGGTCTTGATATTTTCAAGAGCAGAACTGGGTCTTTGGAGTTTGGGTTTAGTCCGGTCATTAGAGAAACTAGTGACATGCCTGTTCATCGCAGATGGATCTGATATTATTACCTTGAGCTATAGCACACTGATATCTAGTTCAAGCCTTCCTTACCAACACCAAAGCTTTCCCGGCTTCTATAGAATCGCCCGGCTGAACCAAAACCTTTTCCACTGTTGCCCCAGCGGCGAGCGCTTCTGTCCGTACCGCGATCTCAAGTTTCATCGCCTCCAAAATAACTACAACTTGCCCTTCGTCGAGCTTTTCACCCTGTTTGACTTCAACTTTCCATATATTAGCATTCAATGGCGCTTCTACCGGTAGAATATGAGGATCTGAATGAATCGTCAGCGATTACGTCTTCTTGTAATTGTTCCCCCCTTCTCTATAGGAGATGAAGATAGCACAATGAATAAATTGGAGGTATGTATATATACCTTTTAACAAACTCTCAATTGCATCCACCGGGACGCCCCTCTCCGCTTTCTCTTTTGCCCACCGTTCGAGTAATTCTGCCTCGAGTTTGTCCATCTCAGCTTGTGCCTTGCGCTGCCGTGCTCGGATAGCTGCTACTTCCTCTTTCGTGTCGCGGAGGAGCTTGTTGTGTTCTACCATGTCGAACATCACTTCTTCCCACTTGTACTCGTATCTGCCGCTGTTGAATAGGGCTAGCTCCTTTTCGTACTCACTTTCTGAAACGCGGTAGAAGGTTATTTGGTCGAATTCTTCAAAAAGCCATGGTTTATCAGGTGTGTAGCCCTTCTTGGATCCCAGGATATCGACGCCCGGGATTGTCATGCCGGTCATTTGGTAGCCGCCGGGAGAGTCGACGTTGTACAGTCTATATGTTTGCGCGTTTACGGTTAGGATGGATGGACGACACGGTTGAGAAAGCAAAAAGAAATAAAGCTTTACTTACGCCATACAGCTACCACCCCAGGATACAGAGCCTGCGGGCGTGTAGACTCTGCTGGGATTCATCTTCGGGCAGTTCATTCGTTGGCGCGGATCGACGGGGAGGGCTAGGGGGAGGGCTGTGAAGAATCCAACGGATACGACCATTAAACTTGCGTTTAGATAGATGTTTTGTACTTCCTCTTTTGTAAAGGCGTTGTTCTCTGCGACAAATTTCATGTTGTCTGGGAGATAGGCGGCGTAAGGACGCTGTGTTTCCATGTATCTTTCAATTGCATCCTTTTGTCGCTGGCTTTCGAATGTGAGTGGGAGTTTGAATAGTCGGCTAGGCATCTTTGCTTCGCTCAGATCACCGAGTTTGGCCTCAATGTCACAGAGGTAGGCGATGAGGTTCTGCTGAGGAACTTTCGCGCCATCGTAGTAGAGCATCAAGGCTATTTTCAAAAGGTCAGTGGTAGGAAGACTTGCTTGATGGGACAAATATTACAATTTCCACATCCAATCATTGATATCAATCCATTGGAAAATGCGATATTCCCATTGCTTTCGTTTAGGATTTTCTTTAGGGCAGTAACTCTACAGCGATGGTTCAAGTCGAAAGTCCCTGTGCCATAGTCAATCAAGATGTAGTCATCACCCGCCTATTTGAAGGTTGGTTAGCACAGAATACAATGACACTGATATGTGCTGCTTACCTGTCGATAGTTAACGAGTGGTTGGTTTCCTTGCTCGGGAATCTGGTGAACAACGCCGGTACCACGAGTCTCTGCCGTCAGCGCTGGGGGATGGCTATCCTTCAAAGGGGCTATGTCACCGAAATTGCCTCCTTCATAGCTGCATTTGACAACTTCACTGACAAATTTCTCTACACGTTTGCGTGCCGCTTGGGCATCTCCCAAAGAAGTGGCTCTGTATTTGAGCGTGTCGCCAGCTTTCACCTGTCCTAGCTTCCACAGGTCCGCCCTAACAATCGTGTGGCTACTGATGAACCCACCAAAGTCTGGGGCATCCTGTGGGAAGATGACAGGGTCATCGCCTGTCCAGTTAAGTGAGCCAATAGCATAACCGTACTCTATCAGATTAGACGGATGGGCACCACCCTCCCCTCCATCCGAGCGAGCCCACTTCGGCTTCGGTCCAAGAAGTCGAATGCCACCTCTTGCTGCATTGTGAGAGATTTTCCATTCTGTTTCGTATAGCATGTCAATACTCTCAGGAGCAAGGTAGCCTTCATCGTAAGGTCCCGGCATAGACAGGAGTTCCCAATGATCAGGGTACTTGGGAATAAGATGCTCTGGTAAACAGAGACTGCCATGAGTATCAGGTATCTCGCTAGTTATAGATAGTAGGTCGCCAGATGCAAGCTGACGACCCTGATAGCCTCCGACGCCCACCATTGGAGATGTAGACTTTGACCCGAACCATTCGGCGATGTTCAAGAAGCCTCCAAAGACCGCTAGATAAGCTCTGCAGCCATTCCCAGTGGTTTTTCCAATCTTCAATCGTTGGCCCGCTGATACTCTAATCCTTGACCACATGCGAACAGGAACGTCGTCAAGGCTGGCTTGGATGGGTGCTCCACACAGGGAGATAATTGCAGGTCCTAGAAAGCGTAGTTCTGGGCCACTTAGAGTTATCTCGAGTGCCTCTAATCCGACAGGATTTCCAACAAGTGCGTTTGCAATACGGAACGCTAAAGGATCCATTGGACCAGATTGACAGAACCCTTTGCCCAGAGTTGGACGGCCAGGCCAGTCCTCAATGAGTGTGTAAGCGCCACCAGACACTACATCAATAGCAGACAGGGAATATTGGAAATCGTTCAAGAACCTGGTTTGAGTGTTTCCGGCCACGAACCTCTCATCGGTGAGTATCTCAGCCAGAAACTCCAAGTTTGTTGGCGGTCCACAAATCCGCGATTGCGTTAATATCGTCTTCATTCCCTCGATGGTTTTCTGTCTGCTTGGAGAATGGAACATGACTTTCGCAAGCAAAGGATCTATTGGTTCAGATAAGTTTGTGGTCAAGTTATACTTAGCTGATTTGGGAGAAACACACCATAATGTGCTGATACTTTGATACCCCGGTATACCCATGTGTCAACCCTCGATCCTGGTAACTCCTTCCACTCTACGCTTTGCAACGTTCCAGGGCAAGGGGCAAAGTCTTTTGTCGGGTTCTCAGCGTATACTCTAGCCTCTATAGCAAAACCTGAAGGACCATCTACGGGAATACTTGTAAGAAAGGCTGCCTCAAGTCCCTTCCTTCCCGAAAGGTCAGCATCCGCCTGTCTCAACATAAGCTCTACCAAATCGACTCCATAGCATAGTTCTGTGATTCCATGCTCAACTTGAAGTCGGGTATTCATTTCAAGAAAAAAGAATGCGCCAGACTCATCGTCGACAAGGTATTCAATCGTTCCAGCCGAGCTATAGTTGATAGACTCCGCAAGACGAACAGCAGCGTCACTCAAGCTTCCTCGGAGTCCAGGATTCCTTGTGACGAATGGACTTGGGCACTCTTCAATAACTTTTTGGTGTCTTCTCTGTATGGAACATTCACGTTCTCCGATAGCGATGGCCTTGCCATCCCCGTTGCCAAAAACTTGGATTTCGATGTGGTGACTAGACGGATAGTATCGTTCAATGAACATTCCAGCATTCTTAAACAATGCCTCGCCTCTGGAACGCACGGTAGCGAACGACTCACGTACTTCGTCTTCAGAGCCGCATGTGATTAGACCCATGCCGCCGCCGCCTGCGGTAGCTTTAAGCATAACCTGGTGCGCAATATATTAGCCCTACCAAGGAAACCCGGTGTTGTAAGCATACCGGAAACCCTAGGGTTTTGGCCACCTCCACAGCCTCATCTTCACTTGTCACTAATCCTATTGATCCGGGTACAATAGGTACCCCAGCCTTTCTAGCTAGCTCGCGCGCCGTGTGCTTCAACCCAAATGCTTCGATACTTTCTGGCGATGGACCAGCAAAAACCATACCCGCTCTGGCAACAGCTCTTGCAAAGTCCGCGTTCTCCGACAGAAAGCCGTATCCAGGGATGATAGCATTCACTTGGCTACTTTTGGCTATTTCAATGATTTGGTCCCTAATACGTAATCAGACGAAGGCTATTGCAGAAAAAGGGCAGGAAAATCTGACCCATCAATATACGCCTTTGAAGGCGGACCCTCGAGCAGGAACGCTTCGTCTGCTAGATGAACATGGGTGGAGGCAGCATCTGGCTCAGTATAAACAGCAATAGTTCGCAGGTTTAACCTCCTAGAATAGTTATTTAGCCACAGCTCTAAGCCGAGCATTAGGTATAGCCTGGAGAACTCATACTTTGCGGTCTTCAGAATTCGGACAGCTATCTCGCCACGGTTGGCAACCAGCAATGTCTTAAGGGACTCCATTGTATGTAAGAATGCATCGATCAGAGTGCCTTTTTTTAAGTCTCGATGGTTGGGCGGCATGGCATGCTTGATTATATGAGGGGACAATGTAGATAACGCCTTCACCTTTCAAACTAGATTATCCTCGGTGCTATAGACCAATAGCAGGGGTGTCATGCCTTCGAATACGAACCACAGGTTCTTGATAAGCTTGCATAGTTACCTCAATTTTGGGGTATGCGTTGATCGATGGCACCGAATTGGAGATTTTGGAGGCGTGCGGAGTCAACTTATCGATAAGAGTGGGACACAACCCCTCCTCTTAGCATTGTCATAAGAAGTTCTCGCTCCCTGAAGGGCCTTTTGTGCTATATAATTCTTTATGGTAGTTGTGGTTCTTGCTCGTTCCTTTGGCGATTCTCAGTTCTCACTTAAATTCCAATAAAGACCCTCAGCTACGAAGAAACATATACGCCATGGCCCCGATACAACAGAAAGCGTTGATTAACTGTGACATGGGAGAAGCTGTACTCTATCCTTTCCTCTTTCTCTACTTAAGATGTCGATGTACCAGTAGTTGTTAACATGGCTTGTAGTACGGCAATTGGGCTTGCGGTCCCGATCTTGAGCTCCTTCCCATGATTGATATCGCAAACGTCGCCTGCGGCTTCCACGGTGGTGACCCACTGATCATGATGGAGACCGTTCGGAATTGTAAAGCCCATAATATTCGAATCGGAGCTCATCCCGGGTTACCGGATCTCCAAGGTTTCGGACGACGGGAGATGAAGCTCTCGCCCGAGGAACTCACCGCTATGACGATTTATCAGGTGGGGGCACTCCGGGGTTTCCTAGACCGTGAGAACGTTCCCCTCAGCCACGTAAAACCCCATGGGGTACTGTACGGGATGATGTGCCGGGACTATGAGGTGGCCAAGGCAGTCATGCTTGGGATCCCCAAAGGAGTTCCTGTGTTCGGACTGGCCGGAACCCAGATGGAGAAGGCCGCCAATGATCTCGGGATAGATTTCTGGGCCGAACTATACGGTGACGTCAAATACGACTCGAGAGGAATGCTCGTCATTGACCGGAAGAAAAAACCATGGGATCTCGGAGACGTGGAGCGGCATGTCAGACAACAAGTTGAAGAACAGTCCGTGACCGCCGTCGATGGAACGGTCGTAGAACTGCCATTGAAGAACTATCCTTATTCCATATGTTGCCATTCCGATTCGCCAGGTTGCGTGGATATTATCAAAACAACACGAAGGGTGGTGGATGAGTTTAATCAAAAGCACGGGAAGTGAGCCATTGTGTTTTAAATATATGTCCATTTGTCCATATCTGCCGAGATGATTGGCCCCGTTTAGCGTCAAGGCTGTCCTGCGATAATATATATAAGATGTAGGGTACTGATTTTTGTCAGTTCTTCTTGCTTCTCTTACCACCGGCCCCATTTCTCAGGTGGTGATGGGAAATTTCAAGCGCGCCTGGGTCATGATTCTATTACCTTTTGGATTCAGTACTAAAATAAGGGAAAGATTTTCGATAGCTATCCGATGTGGTGTAATGGCTAACATCGCTGTCTCTCACACAGCAGCTCGGGGTTCGATTCCCCGCATCGGAATATTTTTTTTTCCTCGTCTCTTTTTCTTTTCTATTCACTGGTTGAGAATTCAAGCGTATTTCCTTCTCTCAAGCAATTAATGCCCTGTCTTTTTGTTTTCAAAGACCAGGTGACCATTAGCATTGGTTGACTTCTTCGTCTACCCTGGTAATTGATGTAAGATACAAAGCTAGTATAGACAGGTTTCCCTGCCATTTCTCTCCTGTAGTCAACATTTCTGAGTGTCTTCGATACCCCCGGTAAGAGGGAATGGGTACTGGGAGGTCAGTAGGCACATGACCCTTATAGGTCTATATTAAATGATCTAGCCCTATGTATATATTATATATACCAGGGTTCTAAACTCCTACTTATTTGCAAAAAAGCTTAGCATAGCGGCCGGTTTGTTTGATAGCCCGGTTTACAGCTGTCTTCAGTCTGCGCCAATATTGCTGTTCTGCGACAATAAGCAACCGGGTCTGAAAAGTTACAGGCGAATTATCACGGCACGTCCCGCAGAACCGATACTATCCCAAGGGCTCCTGCTGGTTGGACAGATTGACGGTCGCTCTAGAAGCCTTCCATCCGAGATGCATGACCATCTGATCTCGAATCACAAATGGTTCATCCCAGTATTTCATGGTGGCTTTGACACGTCAGCCTGGTGAGATCATGGTGCCAGCCCGTCAATTGCCATGCGTTCGTAAAAAAGACTAGATTCCAAGGCGTGTGACATATCATTAAATGCTAGCAGAGGAATGAACTGGGCGCTTGGACCGCAGCCATTGATATCGGTGTGCTCCCCACATGTATAAACTTGAGCCAGGGATAGAACGGTGATAGCGTCTACATTAGCGTTAGAGCTGGGAGATAGGAGACAGCGGTGTGGATAGTGATTGCAGGATACGGCGGAGAAAGCCATGTTATATTTTTTTCATCCATTCCTTTTTTATTCATAATTTCATGTTGAACACCAACAGCTCCGATATCGTTGGAAAGGGCGGCCCGATGATGCATGATTACCCTCTTGGGTTAGTCTGAGAACACCCCCCGCACCGACAACGCTTGCCCTGTCTAGGGCAAGCGTTGTCATTGCAAGGGCGTGCAGATGAAGTGCGTGACCCATTCTTTTCTCTTGCTTCAACCCATTGGACAATGAGAACCAACAACCCACACCCTAGGAGTTATCGATAAAGGGTTGCTGATATGGGTCTCGGCGGTACCGACTGGGGCCGAATACGACCCTTTCCACGCCTTGAGCCATCGACTCAGGCCAAGGACAGGTAGAACAATGACCAGGAAAGATCGAAGGTGCTAGCATGGTCGGTTTCGGCATGCTTTTGATACCCCAGACGAAAAACCGTATCCTTTTTTCTCATGCCCCCCATCCATCTTCCGCGCCCGCCATCCACTACTATCACCCTATTTGTCCCCCGTCCATTTTCGTCCCCAGCTACCTGCTTTTAAATCGGTGCTGCGTCGTTGAGCGCCTTCCATCCTCACTGGCGTGACTGAAGCACGACGGCCTCTTGTTGACTCGTGACAGAGTGAAGCCGGAGCATCAGCGTGAGAATGGAGTTCTTTGATTTCGATGGGGCCTCGTATGGGTCCCAGTCTCAAGTCCGAGATGACGATGTGGCTTCGAATAGCAGGGACTTCGATGAAAACGATGATGCGGTCGCCAACTACGAGTCGCTCTTACTCGACCAGCCTTTGGAATTTCCCAATGATTTGCCGGAACAAGCTGTTCTTGATGTAAAACAGTCTCCTGGTCCGACCATGGAGAATGGTGTTTACCCTATGGGTCGTTCTAAAGAGCCCTGCGACTTTTGCAGGAACATGGGTCTGGACTGTTTTGTTGCCAACAGAGGAGTGATGCAGAACAGTGGTTGTACCTGCTGCATCTCGCTCTACCGAGAGTGTAGTTTCACCCATGCTAAAGCACCGGGTAAATTTCTGGACACCTTACATCCAATCAACGAGAATACCTATATCCCCACCGGCGGCTTAACGGGGAAGAAGGCGCTCAAATCGCTCTATGGTGCTACCTTTGTTGAAGATGTCGATGGTCGGGGGAGAAAAGGGAGCTCGCGACTGTCGCGCGAGGCAGTCCGCATCCTCAAAACCTGGTTAAACGAACATAGCGACCACCCGTATCCTAATGAGGAGGAGAAAGATGAACTGAAGCAGCGTACAGGGTTGAAGCGGACGCAGATCTGCAATTGGCTTGCCAATGCCAGACGGCGTGGTAAAGTTCGTCCCCCGCCACGCAGTAGCTCTCCGGTTCCCGGTGCTATGGATATCCCGAGACAACCACATGTAGATATGACTCTCATGACTCCGCTTGAGCGTTGGAAGCACTCGCCCCCCGAAAACGAACCTGCTGCCACATCCGATATTCTTCGAGCCTTGGTGAATACATCTTTGGATTCTGTTCGGCAGCGACCGTCTCAATCGAGTCACGTGCGCTCCCATTCTCGGAAGACTGGGTCTAGCAATGACTCAAGCCATGGCAACTCAAATATATTCCGTGCCCCTTCTCTTAGTAGCTTGGAGACAAGTCGGTCAGCCACTCAATCGTCTATCTCTGACCTATCCTTCGCCTCCGCCTTCTCCCATAGGTCCTCCTTGGGGTCATTCGGTTCCATGGACCGAAAGGAACGTCGTCGTCGTCGTAAAGCCCCAGCACCTTTGAATACTTTCAACCAGCAAAGGGCTCGTATCACTCGTGTCTTTCAGTGTACCTTCTGTGCCGACTCCTTCCAGACTAAGTATGACTGGCAACGCCATGAAAAATCGCTGCATCTAGCTTTGGAGAAGTGGACCTGCTCGCCTCACGGAGGGGTGGCCTTTATGGACGGCGCAAACCGCTGTGTGTTTTGTATGGCGCCCAATCCAGACAATGATCATCTTGAGTCGCACAATTATAGTACTTGCCAAGAGAAGTCACCTTCCGAGCGGGCCTTTTATAGGAAGGATCACCTCAATCAACATCTGAGGTTGGTGCACGACGTGAAGTTCCACTCATCAATGGATCAATGGCGAAGTAATACGTGCGAGATAAGATCTCGGTGCGGTTTCTGTGCAACTATTCTCACAACGTGGAAAGAACGAGTCGACCACCTAGCTTCCCATTTCAAGAGTGGTGCCGACATGACTCAATGGCAGGGAGATTGGGGTTTTGACCCCGATGTCGAGAGATTGGTTGAAAATGCAATGCCTCCATATCTCATTGGCCAGGAGAAGCTCACATTGGACCCTTATAAACCTTCGCGCGCCGCGGGCCAGTCACCAAGCTTAGCTGTACCAGGAGATGTCAATTGCTACGAACGTCTTCAGCGCGAACTTATGGTTTATATCCATAACCGTATGGCCGCTGGCATCACTCCAACGGATCAAATGTTGCAAGACGAAGCCCGGCGCATCATTTACGACAATGATGATCCTTGGAACCAAACTTGCGCAGATAATCCGGTCTGGCTCGGCGTTCTCAAACGTGTTGCTGGGCTTGAAAACGTCCCAGGCTCAGAGGATGTCCAATTCGCAAACTTAGGCATGCAGCCGCCTTATGCTGCCCAAGGCGGCTTACGGCGCCCGCCTGTTGAGACCAATCCGGTAGCTCGGAGCGTATTTCATCGACCGCCCTTCAGCCCAAGCCGCCCCAGCTCTGGCTTCCAGAGTCCCGCATTTCCAAGCACCGGCCGGTCCTCAGCGGTAGCAAGCATTCCGGGAAGCTCGAATGGCAGCTACGCTGGTAGCCTTGGAATGGTCCCTGCTGTGACGCACTCTGGTCTATCCACTGATTGGGGAAGCAGTATCTCAGCTGGGGTTTCATCGTTTTCGACGCCAATGAGCGGCTCAGTGGACCCATTCGTGCAGATGGGATTCGATCCCGAATTCCTGCAGCAGTTGAATGATCGTTATGGAGACTTGGATTTGGATGACCTGCAAGGATCGGACCTGGAGGGAGGTAGCCGGGCTGAGGGTGACCTACTCCCTGGAGGGAATGAAACTAAAGTGTTGGGATTGCCGATGGAAGCTTTGCCTAGTTCTAATGTCGGGACTGCACCTATTCCCATTCCCAGCCCAAAACAGACGGATGTTTTGATGGCCGATGCAGTGCCTTATCAAGATCTTCCGACCACCCAAGGGCCATAGTAACTAGATCAGGGCAATCCCTTGAAGATGACCAAATGAAAGATGGTCGGATAAGTTGGATTGTATCGTGGATGAAATTGTTTAAAAGTTTCCGGATGTTAATTTTTCACTGGGGGGATTCAATCCTTTCCACCCCTAGTTATCTTCATGCATAAGTTTTTAAAGATTCCCGACATGGCAGCGCGTTAGTGAATATTAATAAGTTTCATCTATGGTAATTTGCCATCTGTCTCATAATGATCGCGTAAAGGGCGCAGGTCTAGGGTAAAGTGTGTCAGCGCTTTTCACTTTGATTGGCTGCAAGTGATCAATGATCACCGGCAGGGCGTGAAGGTGATCTTGGGCATGACACATAATTACTACGGGGGAAGTAGGTTCAAGGAGATTACTGAGTAGAGGGACAGGGCCATCTAGTAAAGGTTGTCTGTGTTCTTCGAATGGTGTTGTTGGCTGTTGGGGAGTAGGGCTTGACAGAGTCCGTGATCTTCTTATCGGAATTATATTGTGGGTCCATTTATCTATCCTTGTCACCCTCCACTTTGACATGTGAAACTCGGAGGTTCTAACGGGTTTTCCCTGCTGGTGTCGGGATGTTTAACCCATACTTTGCCTTCAGCATGAGTGGACAGATCTTGTCTCAGACCAAAGGGACTCTGGTGACAAGATATTATGACAAGCCTGCTGCGTCAGATTTACTCTTCCTTTCTGTCACCTGCAACCCGACTTGAATTGCCCCTCATCTCATGCCCACCGCCTATCATAGTGTCAGACTACTAGGAGAAATAACAAATACAATGGACGAGCAAGCAGCTTTGGGAGACGCGATGGCTTCTGCTCAGGGCCTTACAGTTCTTCTTCCTGTGATACCGGCCTCTATTCGACGACATATCCCCCGTCTTTATCCCTCTCTACATCGCCCAGTGAGATCGGACACGAGTGTTACCACAGAAAGACCAGACCACAAGCCCAAAGATCTTAGCTTTCTTCCGTCTTACTCGGAGCCGAATCTGGCACTTTACAGGCAGAAATCCGACTTGGCCTCGGGGGATCTACAGCGCCCTGCTACTGCGGGCAGTAGCACTAACGGCCAGGATTCGTGTGGCTCCTCGGTCTCCGGGAAGCAATCGGATACGAGCGATATCACTACCTCTGAAGAGACAAAGGGTGTGGAGCCTATGGGGTCGGCGGTTTCCAAATATGAAGAGGAGTCCGGACTGCGCTGGAATCGAGTCGTCCCAGGTACGCGCTCGCATCCAAACTTGTCCTCCAACCATTGTAGATGTAAAACAACGATGTGGTTACGTCTAACGCTTATCAAATAGCACTTAATCTCCTCCGAAGTGCGGGATATGAAGCTCAACAACCCCAATGTGACGGCCACCTGGTACGGTCATTGTATATTAACGCACTCAGCTATCTTCTCGAAGCCCTCCCTGTCGACTTGACTCCCGAAGAAACTGCACGCATCCGACGCAGTCTGCCTAGTCCAGTGAACACATCTCTCACGGCACCCTCTGCAGCTGGCTTCGTCAACCATCGGGTGAACCCAAGCTATCCCGCAGAGCGGTCTTATCTCCATCGACTTCTCGCATCGAGTATTATACAGTTCTTCCTTTTGCTGCAATTCTTGGTCCCTTATCTTAAGATCGTCCTGCATCGGATGTATCAGTATGAGCGGTCCCATCGGGTCACTGAGCGTGTCGTCTCGGCGACTTTAGATGCCGCCGATAACTTGGGCAAAAGAGGGGTAAACCTGGGCTCAACAGTCTTAAGTCTACACGATGGGAAAGTGGGCATTGCAGTGTCCAGCTTGGCTGCATGGTGGATTGAAGGCATTGCGGGTGGACTTTATGAGGGGATTGGAGAGGGCATGACCATCTTAGGGTTCATTCGGCCTAATTCCGGAGGAGCGCCAAACCAGCCTAAGTCTGGCTGCTGAGACTAGTTAATAACTACGGCTGTATCATCAATGTTAACATTTTCAATAGTATCTATATCTACAAGGTTATCAGGCAAATAGACGCAAGGGTGCTATAAGAATCTGTTTCTCCTGATTGTTGCCTATCTTTATAGACTCCTTATGTTAGAAACAATTTATACAGCCCGTCTCCTTCTTCCCGTTTTTATTATTTCCTCCAAAGAAAATGATTCAGCTAGATGACAGTTGTACCCTACACGGCAAAACTCATTCAGATACTGTTTTGTTTTGACTGATTCTATTTCCCTTTTTTGAACGTCTGCTTTAGAGAGCGAATAGACCGTTCGGCATTATCCTCTGTCCGCGATGGACGATGACGCTGTTCAACCAAGTAAAGAGACGGTTCGGTCGCGGGCTACTTGAAAGCTATGCACTATGGTCAGGGCACGTGGACCAGGAAGTGACCTCTTCTGTTCCAATTAAATGCACAGATCTCAAAAGCATACTCGGCCAAACCCCGTCATTCCTCGGACATGGACTGGTTCCCGAGGATGAGACGGTCTCGTTCAGGAGCGCAGAGAGCTCAAGCGGTCTATCTGTCAACGGCCGCTCGACATGGAAGACTTCTAACGGGGCTTTCAGTTAGACCCAAAAGAATTGTCTTCCACCGTTATACTTGCGACTAAACGTCTGATGAAAGTGGAGCTTTCTGAACCTGCTCTGTTGGCTGAGTGGCCGGTGTTCAAGGTCACAAGGGATACGACGACGGCAACTATATTCGCAGTGTTATTTTTGCATGGGTTTATATACTGAATGCTCGATGGGCTGAACTGTTGAAATCGATCTCCAGAGCACCGTATGAGACTACATCAAGAAAAGACGCTGCCCAAGCGTTAAGGCACTTCTGGCACAAAGCGTTGCGGGACTCGATATAGGAGATGATGTCAGTGAAGATGTAAGTACGTTGGTGGAATGCGATCTTGTCACCCAATGATGGAGCGTAACAGCAGTCTCTAATGGCAGCACATATACCTCACCGTGGTCTGTTACAATTTCTGACACGACGGTTTTAAGGACTAAACAATTTTCTAAGAGCGAGAGTCAGCCCCCTTCTTCAGATAAAGCTGTGCAGTATCTAGCCCGCTTCTGCTGCCATAAGCGTCGATATGGCCAATGCTCTGTAGCCTTCTCCACCGTACTCTGCGTCCCTTTCGTCTGGACTAAGTCAGTAACACTTCCCTTTCCAAAGATGCCGAACATTTCGGAGTGGCAACTGGAATTGCTGCATACTCCATCAAGCTAAATTTACAATCACTACAGCCTTCTTCCTCGCTACATGATATTGAGTTGTGATATGGGTGGCATTCGGTCTCTACTTCATGTCACATTCTTCAATCCAGAAATCAAGTGCAACGTGGTGGCCGCTTGCATAAGCGCTGCACTTGCCGTCATAGAACCGATAATAAAGGAGGGAAATATGATTAAGCCTCTTCAGCTTTTTGCAAGACGTCTGCCGAAATTAGCACCATTGTGGCTCGGGACTATACTTCTGGAGAACGCAGATGCGTTGCAACCTATAAAGGGTGTATTAGTGGCAGTCAAGCTTCACGCTGCGGCATGGACAGGCGTCACACAATCAGTGATAATATTGAGCCCTGATGTCAGTAATGGAAAGGTGATCAGATGTGAGGGTGAATGCCGCCTTTTTCATACCTTCGGCGGTGGGAATCTTGCTAAACATCTGGTATGGTCGTGGAGGCCTTTCCCGGAAACAATGCTTAGCAATGCAAAGCTTCAGGTTCAGAAACATGCCCGATGTGGTATTCACTGTTTGGAATACCTGGATTGGTATGGGGAACCTGCAGATGGGAAAGTGATAGGTTACGATCAGCAATGTGACAGTATTGCGCATGTCAAATTGGCCCCCCAAAATCACCACAATAATCATTGCTCTATTGTTCGACTGTCAGAGGGCTTGCCAGGAGACCTGAACTCAACACGTGGGATATTTGGATGATTAACATCCACAGGCTACCCGGCAAATAAAAGGCATGTATACAAGTATACTATAGTTTGATGTTGAAGACTCCGATGGAGAAGAGATATTGGACGGCAACGAGGTGGATAGTGTAATCAATGATTTGGCCAGACAGAAGGCAGTGGAGGATTGGCTTGCAAGGAGCATATGTTAACGAACACATGATGGTAGAAGCGAAGTAAGAAGATGCTCGGAGATAGCGGACATAATAACTCCCTAATGCGTACCTGACCGCCCTATCGGAATCAGAAGGCGGTCAGACAAATCAAACCTCAGGAACCGCCGACAGAGGAAAAGGGGTTACTTGTGAACTGATATGCCAATATCTCCACTATAAAGTGGCTTTTAAGGTCTGACAAGTCCTTAAAATAGTTAATGAATTATGGATAATATAAGAAAAAAAATCGCTCCCCATGAGATGGTAAACCGGAGTTCCTGACCGTACCGAAGATCCTTCATTTCCTGATTCAGCCGACAGAAGTGTTCAAATATTCCGCCAGGAAATACAGTTGGCGTCGCGTGTCAAACAGTAACCCAGCAGCAGCATCACTGAGTCTTATGCAGCAACATGTCCACCACCAGATTGCCCAATATCCCTGCTCTGCGTAAACATCAACTTTTTCTGGAATTGTGAGTATTGCATACTTCCCTGGAATGTCTCGGAATGAAGTCAGTTTGACTAATGTTTGATATGCAGTGCGAGTTTAAATCACGCAGCCCCTCCAGGACTTTATGTGAGCCCTGCCATAAACGATACTACTCTCTGGACCGGTGCCTTATTCGTTCGCAATGGTATGTTGATTTTATTCTACCTCTAACTAGTGGATTTAAAATCCACCGAGCACTTTCCTAGAGCTAATTGATTTGTTCGGGTGGTGTTTAGGTCCCTATGCTTCTGCAATCCTCCGCTTCCAAATCCGATTTCCGCCCTCATACCCCGACCTTCCACCTTCAGTGAATTTCTCCACAGATGTTTTCCACCCCTTGATAGTGCCCCTTACGACATATACCTTTAGCACAAGCGCATCGAGCGAGGATCCCGTTAGTGCCTCAGATGAGGAGCGATTACCCCCCGGCGGGTTCAGTCTCCGGCATGGATTTCCTCACTGGTTTGGCCGAGCTAAACGGAGTGCGATGAACTCGGCGGACTCCTCAAGGGCTGTGAGTATTCACGATTCCAACATTGGCGGGGAGGCCGCAGACAAGGACTGGCCGAGCGATGCTTCTAGACCTACATCTCCGTCGAAAGACCAAGTAGATAATGAACGAGAGAGCGCTACCGGACCACCAGCGGAGAAACCTATCGAGATGAGAAAGACTGTCCCAGTTACTGCACTATTAAATTACATCCGCTCTACGTTCGATGATGAAACTGTTCTCGACTCCCTGCCACTCGAAGCGGCTGGGAATCCAAGTGCCTGGCATGCATGGAAGGCTCACAGAAAAGATAGCAGCACTTCTGCCTTTACGGCTAGCTCAAAAAGGGGAAGCCCGCAGGCGCGGCTACCCGGTGATTGGCATTGGGATGGAATTTGGGCCAAGCGTGTCCAGGATGAGGTTGAGGCGAGTCGTTCGGACGCAACATTGTTTGGCAATGCGACCCGAGGAGGAGGTATCGAGGACACGGTAAGAACTGCCTCCACACGGTGATTTATGAGGTTCTGAACGCTATAATACTAACCTAACGCTTGCAGATTCGCTTCTCTCGCTTGGATGACGCCACGCTGATCTCAGTTAAAGAGATGATAATTCCTCGAGCGGAAGAAGCGCACAATTAATTTTTGACACCTTCGTTATATACCCAATTCATTGTTCAAGTATATACAGCAAGCAAGTAGATAGTGTATGTACAACTCTGGCTATCTCGTCTCCTCGTTCGCGCTTACCATCTCCCGGCCCGCTCTTTCCCGGAAGCCGCCTCTACATGTATGTATATTCATGATTTTTTGTGCCCCAGGATGGAAACCTAATTCTTCTTCTTCTTTATTTAATCCCTACAAGAGACATTCTCATACCTCCTTGCATACCATATACCCGTTGCATTAATCAAAGCAAATAGGCCTACAAGCATGGCTAGTCAATTCGACAGCCTCATTATCATCGGGTTAATTACCATCCCGATAATCGTCATCGGTTGTACATTCATTGCCGCTCTAGCTTTCTCAGGTGTCTGCCGTCGGCCTCGTACTCACTTGATCTATTGCATCAAACCCCAGGAGGGACAGAAGGAGAAAGATTCTGCAAGCACCAGCTCTGACGTCCCCGGTATAACAATCTCTCCACCAGCACCTTGCGCAAAAAAAGAAACAGCTCAGAAAAAGGAGACTGTTTGACAATAGCTTGGCTTGTTATATGATACAGTGACGGAGGACGATTTGAAAAGGGGATACAAAATCAGGTCTGGACCTCCGAAAGCAATCGATTTGCCAACTATTACAGCTTGACGCGACGATGGCATTAGCTACCACCGGGGCTCTTACATATGGCATTTCTATTCGCCCGTTGTTTGGCTGGATGCTCGACGACTGCGGAGATGTTGATCGGTTGGCAGTGCAGATGACTCTTGGAATACTATTCGCAGTTTTCTAGGCCGTCTTAGAGTTGAGGAACGGTGGACATTGATGAAATTCATAAGCTGGGAAATTACCTAAGAATCATTCATACCCTGGTCCTATGCTGATTAGCGCTTCTTCATGTACTTCTTTAGCCTTTTGGGGGTGTTTTACATTCAATAAATTCAGGTTTAACAGACACGTCTTCTTTTGAGAATGTTCGTTTCGTCTTGTATTGACCGAGTTGTGGTCGTACAACAGATGGCGTAGTTGAAAGGGGAGGAAGCGAAGGGGGATCATGACATTAATTTTTTATCACTAGTACTATACCATAACGGAGTATCATTCATCTACAAAATTTCTCAATATAGACACATTATCTTCAGACTGCTTCTTATTCCAAACAGGTTCCCCGTCATCGTCGAACTCAGCCCACTGAAAGAATCCACAACTCTTCTTACCAGGCGCAAAGCCGGCATAGCACATCCACATATACTTACCCCTACTTTCCCGCTTGCGTTGAGTACATCGTAGAATGGCGTGCATGCCACACCTACAACGGGGGTTATTCCGTGGATGGAGGGAGTCTCGATACCAGCGGTAAGTGATATTAATGCGGCGGTTGCCAGACAGAGGGTGTGGAGAGACTGTCTGGGCAGGCGTAATAGCATGTTTCCATTCTTCTTGCATTTCAGCATGCATAACCAGCAAGGAGTTATGAGGGAGATGGATGGAGATTTGGCCTTGAGCGTCGGCGCGAACGTCGGATGCTATTCGTGACTGTTTCGGCTCCGACTGTGGCGTAGGCCTGTCTTTCTCACTCTGCGTGTCTTCATCATCGTCGCTAGGTACAATGCGCCGGACACGAAATTCTCGTTCCACGCCGAGGCTCAAACTACCGATGATAGCCCGTGGGCCAAGATAGGTTAGTTCATCCGAGTGATACCCAACGCTCTCTGCGGGGCCATCGTAACAATTGACAAATGCCGCGTTCGGCATCCATTCTTTAGGAGACTGATATTTGAGCTTCTTCCCCCCGGGGTAGAAGGTTTTGATCCGACGATGAACTTCATCATTCACAGTGTGCTGCACCTTGGCGGAAACAGCTCGCATATGGGGTGTAATCTGACGCACATTCGACCGGTAGGTCCCGCCATATGTGTATTCTGACGTGTGTTGGCGGTATTCCTGTGGTGTGGACACATATACGCTCGCAGAGTGAGGACTCTCAACGGTTCGATCGAATAGCTGAAACTTATATCTGGAGAAATGTTTGGATTCCTCTAAAAGTTCTAGGAGTAGCGCATTCGCCTGCTCCGCTGGCAGGAAATTGTGGATAATTGTACATGGCGTGTGGGCTGCGACGTCCTCTGGGGAGAACAGATGTAGCGTTTGGCCCTTCTTAGTTAGTGGCCTTCTTCTGGTTGGTGGTCCTTTCCCTGCATCAGGTTGGACAAGAGATGTCAAAGACGTCTGTACAGCTGGTGTCCCAGAGGCCGCCCGCTTTTTAGTGGGAGAGGTTTCAGATGTAATTGTGGATGTGGCGTCTTCTACTGATCCACTGCAAGATACGAGGATATCTAGTAGTGCTTCGTGTGGGATATCCGGGAAAAGCGACACGAGCAGTGCTAACTTTACATCAGTTGAGTCTTCATCGGCAAGCGGCGAGTCTGATGGTGACGGCGCCTGTGGGGCTGGCGAGCTGGCCCGTGGCCTCTTTCGAGTGATGAAACGGTCCATAGATAGGGCCCGCAGCTCCAAAACGAGGCCATCAGGCAATATAAATCTCCGGGGCTGGGGTGATTGGGGGTTGAAACTTCCAATGATGCGAGATGTCTACTTAATTTCTCAATTGGCACGTGATTGCTCCCGAAGTGACCAATCAGTTGAGAAGAAAGTAAACCTTGACCAGACCAGGAGTAGTATTTACTTAATGTCCATGCTCATAAATTGGCTCCTTCACTATGTACTAATTCAGTGATGCGGGCGAAGAGTCCGTTCTTTCGATGCTCTAAAACCCTCTCCTGGGGAGCGGATTACGTGAGCTTTTACCAGGACATAGTCTATCTCTAAGTAGGATATGCTGTAAGGTGAATAAAATGCCTCTCGGGCTTTCTCTGTGACATATCCTCACACAAGGTATCACAGAACTATCCGCTAGAGCCGAAATTCTTGCATTATACGCCTATCAAATACGGACGGCCAATTCAATTATCGGCGGCAAATACACCCGAAGTCCGTCGACTGATCAACTACTATCGTCTTCCAGTGATAATGACGGCGGATAAACAGGAGCAATGGGCTCTAATTTTCATACGTGTGGTTTCTGAGCACATTTCTGAGCACATTTCTGAGCACCGTTTTTGAGCCTTAAGTATTCATCTGGGAGTAATCTGTTCTGATGTTGTCAGGGGATTTGTAGGAGATGAATGCTTTGTGCCTCCAGAAGCGAGATCGGGGTGGATGAGGTTGAATCGGGCCGTGAAAATTTAAAACACGGATTGCATTCTTATGTCGCGGCTTGTAAGAAGATAATGGAAGAGTGTGATGTCTATATCCGAATGTGCGTTATAAGCGGTTAAGCTGACGGTTGGCTTGGGTTGGTTGTTGGAGGGCTTAATCTCTTCCCTTTTCGATATACGGCTGGAACACAGAGCTTGAATCACAGTCACACCGGTGCCGAGTCGTAGATAATTGGCATTAGCTAAAGGCACACAAGTGTAACCGGCTAATACTATATGGCAGTCTGGATTCGAATTTTCCTGAGACCGCGTTGTGCTTACGTGCGTATAGCTGTTTTAAACAGTTTCACCCACCTTACATCTTCCCATATAAAGCTGATTTCTACCCCCGCCACCTGAGACTCTTCCAGTAAAAGGAAATTTGAGAACTTAACTTGGAAGGTCTTTTCACCACGATGCTTAACTCTTCCCCGGACCTCACCCTTTTTGAGTGTCTGACAGAGTCACTCGAATTCCCACACGAGAGTTGGAAGCAATGGTGGCATAAAACCGGCCCTATATTGGCCAAGCTTATGAGCTCATCGAATTATAACGCAGAGTGGCAGTACAAATACCTTGAGTTCTATGCTACAGTTGTTGTCCCTTTCCTGGGGCCCTATCCACAGGTTGTTCGAAGTACCATTACCCGAAGCGGCCTCCCGGTGGAGTTCAGCGTCAACTACCAACAATATGGAAAGCAACCTATTGTTCGCATAGCCTTTGAGCCCATTGGTGGAGCGCCAGATACCGAAGCTGTGGCCTACGATCGGGATATAGCAAAAGAATTTCTCTCTACCTTGTCGAAACTAGATCTAAAAGGGTTCGATCCGCGATTGTGGGATTTAGTCTCTCGGAACATACATATTGATGCTACTGAAAGAGCAATGTTACAAGAGAATAAGATTGATGGCACTTACGTGAGGACTCAAACATTGTTCGGCTTTGATTTGATCGGAGGAGGTGATATGTCAGTGAAAGCGTATGCGTTTCCGGGTTTGAAATGCAAAGCATCCGGACAGTCTTCGCAAACATTATTGGCCAATACAATCAAAGGCCTGCAGAAGCAGGTAGATTGTTCTGAAGCCTTTTCAATGGTAAACAGTTATTTGCAAGAGACTGACTCTTACAACCCTTACTCTTTCTTCTCATGGGACTGCATAGAGGCATCCAAGAGTCGTCTCAAAATCTACATGTGCTCTGCCAGTATGACACGGGCAAAGCTTGAAGAAACCTGGTCACTTGGTTCTCGGCTAAATGGTCCTAGTATGGAAAAGGGGTTGAAATATCTCTTGCAGCTTTTTGATTGCATTCAGATCAAGGACAAGGAGCTTGATATTAAAATCGAGCATGATGATCGAAGCGACACCTCCAAGGTAACCCCGTTAATGTGGAATTACGAGATGCGGAATAACGACCCATTGCCTGTGGCTAAGATATACTTGCCTGTGCATGGTGAGAATGATTTGAGAATTGTCATTGGCGTTGCGCGGTTCATGAAGGAAATTGGAATGGTCGACTTAGGCAAATCCTACCTGGATACGGTTCAGTCTTACTTGTAAGTTGTTCATCTATACTCATGACTATCTGGTCCCTAACAATACCTTCAGTTCTGGGTATGACCTTGGGCAGACGGATCGTCTGACATCTTGGGTTTCCTTTACGTATACGGAGAAGATGGGAGTCTATCTGAGCATCTATTACCATTCTTCTCTCGACAACCTATGGGTGGCGAAAGAAAAATGATGTGGCTTTTCTTCATTTTTACTTGGAAAATGCGAATAATTTCTTAATTGTCACTACGTAGGCAATATCGTCGCTCAGTGAAGAACTAGTAGCAACTAGCCACATAGGGTTATCGACCTTGACATGGGGTTCCTAGAATATAAATGTTCGGAAGAAATCCGTTTCGTCCGACGGGAGAACTCCGCTTCGTGAAGAATTTCCAATTTTCCTCTTCTCAATCTTCTTCGTACAATTGGCTGACCTTTACACAATTCTCCTATATTCATTTAACCAACATTTACTTTAACATATTATACAGTTGGGACTTTATCGATAATATATTTATAAATACTTGATGGACTCGCCGAGGAGAAATCGGAACCGCGCGGCCTGCCGCCGCTGTCAACGACGGAAGATCCGCGTATGTTCCTATTACATATACTATGGGTGACCTTGTGCAACTAACGCTGGCTTACACAGTGTGATGGACAATTGCCTCGCTGTAGCTCATGCCAGAAGGCTAACTCGCCTTGTCTCAATGATGGCAGGCAGCTTGTTCAGCGCTCGTAAGTGTTTGACCCCGCGTGAAGATCTCTCAAAACTGAATCCGTGAACAGGTATATCGCGAGCATGGAGAAACGAATCAAATGGCTCGAAGCCCTAGTTAAAGAAAGCTGTCCGAATGTTGATTTGGATGAAGTATCAAGAGACAACATTGTCCCAGATAAAGACCCAATCCTACTTGAGGACCACGCAGAGACCTCTATTCTGAGCCCTCAGGAAGAGCTTGCCCCAAACGAAGAACAAGGCTCGGAGCAAAGACAACCACAATACCAGAGTGGACCAGGTATTCCACCGCGCCCTCTTTCTCTGATGGAATCTCGACAAGCTCATGAGATCGGACTTGTTTCGCTCTCACCCGGTGGTGACCCACGCTACATTGGACCTTCCAGTGGATATTTCTTTGCCAACCTCGTCTTCTCTAATGCTGGTCAGCACCAGAAGCGAAGGAAAGCTACTAACGACTCCACGGGGTCGCTTTCAGGAGAATATGTCGCTCTCGCGGCAGAGATCCTTCATGCACCCGCTTCCTTACCCCCACGACGGGAAATTGCCGTTGAACTATCGTCTAAGTACTTTGAAACCATTCATGTTGTGTATCCTTTCTTGCACCAGCCATCGCATATGAGCTACTTAGATCAAATATACTCTTCGGAAGATACCAGCGCAACAGTGGCCTTCCAGGTGTACATGATTTTGGCCATTGCTGCCACTGATCTTTCACGGAGGTCGAAAATTCGCCTTCCTGCTGAAGGCTACTATACTACAGCAATGCAGTACTTTCGTAATATGACTCCAGACGGGACATTGGTAGGACTACAGTCATTGCTATTACTCATGGTTTATGGACTCCACAATCCATCTTGTGGAATCAATATCTGGAATCTTAACTACCAGTGTCTGGCCTCACTTATTGATTTAGGCTTACAGCGGGATGTCCGAAATGCACCATCCCTGAAAATCTCACTTTTAGAACACGAGATGAGGACTCGGGTCTTCTGGGTCGTGTATACGTTTGATCGAACGATAGGAACAATGATGGGGCGACCGGTGGGCATCCGGGACGAGGCGTGCGATTTACGAGTGAGTCATTAGGCCGTCCAAGATTAACCATAGATGAGGCCTTAACAGCTCTAGCTCCCTATGGACATCTCAGATCATGATCTGGTGAATCATGATGCCCAAGAAAGGACGGAAAGGACCCCAGGACAACCGCCTTCTCATATATCTTTTGGCATCCACCTGTTCAAAGCCGCCCGACTAAACTCAGAAGTTAAGTACGTTATGCACAGCATATCCCGAGAGCCTCCGGCCTACGCCTACCCTCCAATTCGAGACATATTTAGTTGGCAAAGGGACATTCTAGAGCGCCTGCAAATCTGGAAGTCAGAAATACCACATATAGGTAGCAGCAATACGAGCGCCATACTCTGCGAGATCAAATATCACGAGATGATGATATTAGTCTTGCGCCCTAGTCCAGCCATTCCAGAACCATCGGAAGACTCATCTATCTTATGCTTCAGACACGCCATGGAACTGCTGGAAAAATTTAGGGAACTGTATAAACATGACGCTCTACAATACAGTCGGCTAGTTGTTCACTCAATCTTCTTAGGCACACTTGTGGTACTACACAGCATTTGGAAATTACCTGATATCTCAACGAATCTCAAAGTTGATGAGCTTTCGAAGAATATCACCACTGCACTCAATATACTTAGCAGTATCGGCGAATATTGGCTTGAAGCCCAGAGAGCCAGGGACTGCATCGACGAGATCTCGAGTGTAACTATGAGGCGACTTTTGAAGACTCGAGGCTCAGAAGGGCCAATAGCGACCTCCAGGCTCCGTTCAAGGACACGAGCTACGAATGTAAGCCAACAGGGCCCCAACCTCACCTCCCACGTGCCCTTGGGGCAGGGTGCAGTCCATCAGCAACCAGAACACTTTGATTTTGATGCAAACTCAGCCGGCTTCGGTGATTTCAACACAGGGGTTTCGGAAGCTGCCCTGGAATGTTCCGATTCATTACAGCTGTTTGGTGACTCTGCATTTGAGGAGACTTTTGGATTGACCGGTGTGCCAGATTTTGATGGTCTCATGTGGGAATTTTTCAACATTTCATGAGTCATATAAGATAACTATATATGTATATGTTGTTCCTACCCGGACTTAGATATACTATATACTGCCTCTTCCAGAGAGCTCCCGAAAATCAGTTTCAGCACTATCCCGATACGAAGATAGTTTTTCACTGCACCTTGAAGCTTTCGAACATATACTTGGATGTGATATCTGCAACGTTGTCGTCCCCTAGCACATCAGGCAATATACAACTTTTGAATATGAACTCTACTGGAATTTTTACGACATAATCTGTCACCTTGAAGACACTATATACAGTGAGCTGCTGCCCTGAGAGTTTTTACTCTATTTAGGTCATGGCCGGAAGGCAGATAGCCAACTTATTACTCCATCTGGAAAACATCATTCAACAGACTCTGCTCCTGCAGGGCATGCAATACCTTATATCCCACAGCCACACCTGATGCCGGCTCTCGCCCGGCAAATCTAACCCTCTTATCCCTATGAGACTCTGTCTTTTGCAGAATGAGATCCATGCGCGGCACCACGTGGCCCTAAGAGCCTCCATTCACAAAGTCTCCTCCTGACACCAGACGATATCTGTAACGTAGGGGTAAGCATTCCAAGTTCTGTCGTACTTGCGCCCACGGGAAGGGTGGAGTTCTTCGATTCGCGTGATGGCCGCGTCTTTTAGACTTTGGGCTTCACAGTGTTTAGAAAGGGGGGCATAGACCTGGCCTGAGCTGAAAATTACGCGCTTAATACCCAGGTTCATTGATGCTCTTGCCGTGCTCGGTTTCAGATAGAAGAGGTTGGAAGTACGGCGTATCAGTAAAGTCTTGGACATCAGAGCGGCAAGTGGATTGCGGGTGGATTGCGGAGCAGAGATTTAGAGAAGAGGATAATAAGTGTTATATATTATTTCCAGTCAGTGCTTTCCATGTCGTCATTATGGGAGAGGGAAGAAGACGTACGCTTTCTAAAGTCGCGATGAATTTGCCGACGCAGGGCATGGAAGTAATTGGCTGGACCGGTCATGCACACAAAATCGCTCTCATTCAGGAATTTGGTTGCAATGAACTTCTCCCAGCTACTGGCACGATCAAGACCGTGCAGCATACATCGTTTCGCCTCGTCAATGAAATGATAGCGCTGCACACTCTCACTACAAGCCTGGATCTAGTCAACCTGTTCTTGATCCGAGATATGCATATATTCGACGCCCATCGTGCTGCAGTAGATTTCTTCACAAGCTGCGAAGACCTCCCACAGGGTTCTCGGCTTTTCATATGTGAAATCCTGCACTTATCCCTTTCCCATAATGAGCACAAGATCAAGATCCTGCCCACCAAGCCTATAGTAACTCAACTACAACTCTTTCCGGCGGAACTTGCCTTCGTTCGCCATCCCCAGCGGGTCGGTAGACGCATACTCGTGACCCTATCGCTGATACGGCTAAATCAGCTGGGTCACCTTCAATTGTTTCACAGTGGAGTTATCCACCCGACTACTAGGAGCAACCGATGCCCTGGTCGATACCGTCGCTAGCCCTGGTGGCGGCATGAATGCCTAATCCATTGGCACATGACCGTTCTCGACGTTATGGGAATATGCCTTCCATGAGAGATGCACGGAGGACGGATCATTCTTCTACGACGAATGCATCATATCGATGTATGTTGCCGCGCTGCCTTGAAGGATGTCATCATTGTGAACCTAAAGGGCGAAGTTAACCTCCATTGGTAGCTTTGAAGAATAAAAAGGCTAGCCATATGTTGAATGAGACTTACTAGTCTCCTCGGATGGTTTAGAAGCTTGGTCCGTATTCGGTGACTGCGTGTATCATAAGGAGTATCGCGCGTTTGTAGGCTAATCTCAACAACAGGTTGTCCAAATGTGACAGTGTCGCCCTCGCTGACAAGTAACTTGGTGACTGTTCCAGTGTGCGGTGCGTTTACGGCAACGTCTATCATATCCGTTTCGATCGAGGCAATCTTTTCGTCTTGTTCGACGTGGTCACCGGCCTGTTTGTTGAAGATAGACAGAACTCTCTCGGAGATAGATTCAGCCATAGAGGGAACGTGGATGGTCTTGGTTCCAGTCGAATGGAGAGAAGATGCGCTGAACAGATGTGGCCGTAAAGATGAACTGAGACAATCGGCTTGGCTTCAGGATACCGATCCTCAATGTCGGCAAAGTAGCGCTTCGCGGACTATCCAGCATCCATTTGAAATATATATACCGACAGCCAACAATCCAAGGCATCCTAGATAGGGCATATTGGCTACAGGCCTTTCTCCTTACTTGGAGGCTTTTAGTCATCTATTAGGCCTGAGAAAAGTGGCGTACAGGCGCGTGTGACGAGCGAGACATGAGAATTTTACGGTGATAGTTAGTGCTCTATGACTTAGAATCACTGTAACTCATTGAATGCTTGGTGTAACTTGCTTGGAATCATAATATCTATAGAAGTTCTCTTTAGTCTTCGTATTGATCGTGGCTCTTTGATTGGGGATTTATGAAAGTGCAGAAGTATATTCTAGATCCGTAGAGGATATTGGCTATAAATCTGTCTGCCAACGCTAATAGGAAGTTGGATTACCACATCCATCTCGACGAAAGTAATGGAGTGAATTGGTGTGGGTTGAGAATCGAGTAATGTATAAAAGATTGATTGGAGTATACAAGTCCAATGACGTCTACGCCAATCACGGGGGCTCCACCAATCACGACAGACGACGGACCTCGGCTCAGGTACTGTGATCTTCCTTAATTTAATCTCCCCGCAACAGCAACTTTCATTTAATTCCATTCACCTTACGCGCGATATGATCTTCTGCCGCAGTCGCTGAGCTGATCTACACCCGCCTCCTTCCAATTCTATTCTCCTACTCTCCTACCCTTCCTATGACCTCAATAACGTGGTTTACATCGAACACTCAGAATCATGTTACATTTTCGCACCGAGGGCTATAATGGCTGTGCGGTGAAGTACTCCCCGTTCTTCGATAATCGGCTGGCCGTCGCAGGGTCAGCCAATTTTGGACTTGTAGGAAATGGACGAATGTACATCCTGGAGCTGACTCCAAACGGGATTGTACCCGTAAAATGGTACAGGTCTTCCCATTCGAGATGACCGAGCCAAGCTATTCTGACGAATAATGGCAGGTTCACTACCCAAGACTCGTTGTACGATCTTGCATGGTCTGAAATCCATGAAAATCAAGTCCTCACAGCCTCCGGTGACGGTAGCATTAAGCTGTTCGATTGCAACCTTAACGACTTCCCAGTTCAGAATTGGAAAGAACATAACCGTGAAGTCTTCAGTGTGCATTGGAATCTCATAGCAAAAGACCGTTTCTGCTCCAGCAGCTGGGACGGTACCGTGCGCGTCTGGACCCCCGATCGTCCGCATTCTCTCATTACCCTTCCTACACACAGCTGCACTTATTCCGCTGCCTTCTCGCCACATTCTCCTGATATCCTCTCCTGTGTCACCTCTGACTCGTACGTCCGCATTTTCGACCTTCGCACTCCGGCCTCTGCCTCCAACCACCTCACTCTCCAGATCCCAATCCATGCGGCCCCAGTATCGCCAATTCCCGCACAACCGGGAGTCCCGCCGGCTGCCTGTCCCCCTTCGGAAGCTCTGACGCACGACTGGAATAAATATCGGCCGTCTATCCTGGCTACTGCCGGCGTCGACCGGACGATCCGCACGTTCGACATCCGTGCCCCGCAGCAAGGCCCACAAACCGTCATGGTCGGGCATGACTATGCCATTCGCAAGGTCTCTTGGTCACCACACCTCTCTAACGTTCTCCTTAGTGCAAGCTACGACATGACCTGTCGTGCATGGAGCGATCAGTCTCCCCCAGGGGTCATTGGAGATGTCGACTCGATGCGGGCGGGTCCTAATCCAGTAATGGGAGCGGAGCTAGGCCGAATGGCCCGACATACAGAATTTGTAACCGGAATAGACTGGTGTTTGTTTGGAAGCGAGGGCTGGTGTGCCAGTGTGGGATGGGACGAGAGTGTGTATGTGTGGGATGTCCGGGCAGTTATGTGATAAAAGCACATCTGGTTTTGGATGACCCGTCTTGGTTTATTTCTTTTTTCTGTATTGGATATTAGATTGCATGATACCATTTTCTGGCAGCGATTGATTGGCCTGTCAGATATTGAATACTTTATGACAACGATTCTGGTTATTAATCCTGCTATCGCTTGAGGTATAGAATATGCTTTTTTCTTATCGCTAGACAAGCTATACTATTTGACATCAATCATCACCATAAGAATATCAATCACCATGCACGGTGAGGTATTTTAGACATGGCATTCTCCCATCTATGTCCGTCTAACCGTCATAGACTCACCGTGAAACCAAAAAGCCAAATCCGGGTATATCGAGACCACACCACTCATCTTAAGCGCCCAGTATTAAAGAAAAGCGCCGAGCCGAGTGCCGCCCCGTTGAAAGGAATATGCCAAAAATCCCATTGAATGGAAGGAAGTAAGAAACGAAAACGAGATTATTTCGTCAGTCTGGCCTCCACCTTCTTCTTCTCCGCATCGCGAACAGCAGCGATCTCTTCTTTTGATGCATCGAAAGCAACATGCGCCTGGTTGAAGGGATTCTCGTCACTCTTCTCAAATTCCTTCTTGATGAGCTCAATACGCTGTTGTCTCCGCAGGCCAGGGGTTTCCTGCTCCACCTCCGGCATTCTCCGCGCCTCATACGCCGCATAAGCAGCCTTGTAACGTCTCTCCGGATGGCGATCGATCTTTGACGAATCCTTGCCCGTCAGCGACAGGGCGTCCAGGGCATTATCGATACCCGATGCATTGAGTGCAGCTCCCTTGCGAGACGCGGGCTGATCATCCAGCTGGCTGAGATCTAATCCGCGGGACTTCTTGACCGGCTGGTTCGACTTGCCCTTCGGCTTGGAGGGTTGGGAGGCTTCCTCGGCGGCGAGTTGGGCGTCACGCTCTGCCTTCTTCCGCGCTGCTTCGGCTTTCTTGGCTTCCTCTGCTTCCCTGATTGTTTGCAACTTCATTAGCGCGCTGTTCCTACCAGCGGATAGATCATATCGAGTATTTGAAGGCTTCCCTTCTAGGTTTTGCACGGTCGAAAAGAGAATTCCACACTCACTTCTTAGAAGCACCCTTAGCACCCTTCGCCCACTGCTTATCCTCCTCAGCTGCACGCTTCGAGTCCTCAACAGCCTTCTTGGCGGCAGCCGCTTCCGCTTTCTATTCCAAGCTCAGACTTGTCAGTGAATACATGGTTACACTCAGCTTGTCGTGTGCTCTCTCGCCGTGTGGCGGGGGCGGGGCACAGGTAAAGCTCAGATTTATCAGATCCGATGACACTATCAGATTGGAAGGGAAGGAATTCACGTACACGGGCATTTCCGGCCGCCTTCTTAGAGTTCTCGCCGCTCTTCTTAGGACCCATTTTGTATATGTTTTATCTTTTCTTTTCCGTTCTCTTTGCTATTGGGGTTTTGTTGGGGATGGTATGAAGAAGTGATTGATGGGTTTGGGTTTCTTGGAGGGGTGTCTCGGGCCGAAGACCGATCGGGGATAAAGCGGTGGAGTCGGGAATTTGTGACTAATGACTTAAAAAGCGCTTCCGCTTTGGGAACTATGTTATGTTATCCAGAGTAGTTTTTATGCAGATTCACATGATTGTCTCAGCCCTGATCTTGTTTTGTTGCTGAATGAAATATGATATCCAGTTAGTTATCGTACGCTATATAGGTAGTCTGCTAGATCAAAAATTGAAAAAAGGCACAAAAAAGAAAAAGAAAAAAAAGAAGAAATGATATGCTATAACTAAGTAGATTGACGTCACCTTCTCCCATCATTACCCTGTATGGCTGATATCAAAAGCACAGATACAGCTCTGACCATTAAGGTAGTAGTTCATTATTCCCAGCAAGGGACAATAAACGATGGGGAGTCACACCTCCAGAAACTAGAATGATCCCAGATCTCTCCCCTTGATCGGAGAACCAGAAGTCACCCGTGGATATTTCCATCGCATTAACATGACTTCACCCCCAACCAGGCCTATAAGGAGTGCAGTACAACCTGAATGTCGCTCTCATCGCGAAAATTCGCTTTCCATTGCAAGACCAATATGGAAGGTTTCCATAAAGCTCATCCCAAGAAATAGGTCGTGTTCTTATTCACGTCTTGTGAAAGGAGTAATGCCTGAGGGAATGTATGGTTGGCATTAGGCGGAGATGAATGTATTCAGGTGAAGCTTACGTCTTTCGGTAGTATTATTCACCCTTTGGTGTCTCTATGGTTCTAAGATACCGTTCTGCGATATACATGAGTTCCACATATGCCTTGAATGAGTCAATACTAAGAACTACGCAGAGATCTTTCGTTTCCGTTTGTCGTAGTATTGGTGTTAGCGTGGAAGAAGGCAAGCATCTTTGGAAAGGTGAACCAAAATGCAGTTTCTGGGTTTTGAAGACGTTCGAAGTAGGCGATCAGCGACAACAGGAACAATAATAACCAACAAATGAAAGAAAGAAAAAGGGAGAGAGCTGATTCATGCATTCAATAGCATCGTAAACACCTATGCGAATTACATTACTGAATCTATTTAGCATGGTAGAATATTTCTTCACTAGAGGTCCTCACAATTACTACAATTACTACATAGTTCATAAATAGTGTACACAAGCATATCCACATCCTACATCGTTCAATCAAGTCGCTACTGCTGGTAGTTCATATCCCTCTGGAACATGGGGCCAAGCATCAACGCCGTCTAATATCGCCAACGCCATCCCACCACTCAAGTGAGGCTGAATATGGCAATGCAGTAGAAAAGGCCCTGGGTTGACTACATGATATCGGATAGCAAGCCACGATGGGCCAGAGCCCGCAGGTGGACTAGGGAACGTATCTCTCATCTGTGGAGTCCGGAAGTTAAAGCGTTCAGGAATGTACTGCGTAGCCTCAGCGACCGAAGAGTAGGTGAAAGCACCCGTTCCGGAGCCAATCACGAAATATTTATTTGAATGCTTGTGGATGGGATGAGGAGGTTGCCCTGCCGTAGTCATATTGATGATTAAGTCCACCCAGGTATTGTTCATGGTGGTGATCATGTATTTTGCAGGAATGGAGCTGCGGTTGAATAGCAATGGAGTCGCCTCTTCGTTTGATAGTGGGAAGCTGTGATTGCCCAACGTCCAACGATATGTATCGCCGATATGATTGACGTTCAGGATGTATGTCCGGTTCACGGACGTAGAAGGAACTTCTAACGGAAAGGGAACGACACTCGCCTCATCCAAAAACATTGTATCCGCGGTGGCATTGGTGCCAGCTTCAGAAATCCATGGTTGGGAAGGCTTCTTCTGCATATGAGTAGAGGTTTTGTATGCCATGATGCCTGTACCGTTGATGAGCTGGTTTGCTCCCTGGTTGACGGCGCGGACTGTGTAATCACCGGCCGGCTGGTCTAATTTCACCAAAACGGAGTATCGGGTTCCGATATTGACAGTAATCGCATCAACGTGGAGAGGCTCTACATAACGCCCATCGACCGCATAGACATACAATGAATGCTGGTCGATGGAAAAGGCTAGCTCTAAACTGCCGGCTATGTTGATCAGGTCGAAGCTTCTGTATCGTGAAGTCTGGTCTACCTCGAATATCTCAGCCGGGCCTTCACTGGGCATACATCCTTGAAGGAAACTCTTTGGTGTTAAGCTGGCTTTCCGAGGGTCATTTGGAGGCAAACATCTGACATTCATCAGCATATAAAGCAACATTTCTGAAAGCGAAAGAATAAAACATTGCGGGATAACAAGACATATCTTACCCGATATCAGTATACGTCCTATTGCCCAAAGCCTGTTTCCGGGCCGGTGTGGTGAGTGTATTAATGCGATCTTGGGGCAAGCAGAACACAGAGCCTTTCCCATTGATCAAAACCGCATTGGCACAAAAGTTCTCAACTCCGGAGGCTACTTGAGCCTGCCAGATCTCTTCTGACGTCAAACGACGCCAGTCAGAAAGAATAATTGGCGTGGTCTCCCTCTCCGCCTTCCGGATAGCCTGTAGCTCATTGGGGTCGTCGGTGATCAAATCAAATGGCTTTTCCACAGCGTCATCCGGTTGAATGTATATAGCACCATACAATCCATCCTCAATTTGACCTCTAGTATGAGCATGATACAGATAGATTCCGTAATGCGTCGCCGTCCACTTATAAATAAACTGATCGCCGGGGGCAATTGGCCTTTGGGAAAGTCCTGGAACACCATCAGACCATGGCGTACCACGTTGCTCAATACCTGATAGGAAAAGTCAGCCCCAGCTTCAGCGGCGAATATATGAAGATGCTACCGTGGAAATGGACTGTTGCCCCGAAGGGCATTGAATTGTTAACCAGAAACTCAACCGTGTCACCTTGTCTCAGTCGCAAGGTAGGACTGGGAAATTGCCCGTTGCTGAGAATCATCCTCCGCGTGAATCCAGCCACTTCATGGTCCTCCCATGTTAGGTTGAGATCGAATTGAACAACCTTACACGATACCCATTGAACGAGGCACACAAAAACCAGGAAGCCCAGCCTGCTCTGGAAAGAAGTCATGGCAAATTGATATTATCGGAATGGAGAAACATGTGCAAAACACGAAAGAATAGTCACAAAGAAATTTTCAACGGGCGTACAGAATCAAGGAGCTCATCCGGATGGTCTTGAGCTCCTTTTGCGAATTGTCGGCCCCATTATTCCATCTGAAACGAGGCCGTTTTATATGCAAACACTGAACCTCCCATCAGTTGAGCCATCAACCTTGAACGGCGAAGAGGTCAACGAAGGACCGTGGCAACAGGGACTGAAATGCAAGGGATAGTCGATGTCAATAACGGTAGGCTCATGCCCGTCAACGAGTTCGAAAAGGAAATGAAACTCTAGGATATAGAGCTGGACGGGAGAGTAGTCATATGCAGTTTAAAAGTTTTACGCAACAACTATCATTGTCAACCGTGCCTGGCAGCATCTTGCCGCTGTATGTTTGCTCCGATTAGCGGACCAAATAGGATAGATGTAATAGTATACATGCATCTGGCCGAAAAGGTAGCAATGCGTTGCATTAAGAGACTAAGATAGACAAGAGAATAGCCGACGCTCCCTAAACACCGAAGCGGTCAAAGCATTGAGGTGATCTGTTCCAACTTGCTCATATGAAGAGCTCGAGGCGGTGAAAGCACCTCAGATGTAGGCTAAAACCGCGCGAGTAGCTTTGGGGTGATCTGTCAAGTAATCAATGGCCGTTAAAGTCTTGAGCACCAGAAACAATTCCGGGTGGCTGGGTCTATAGTCGATAATAGTGAAAAGTACTTCTGAAACTGGAAATATATTGAGAGGAGGGTCGATAGATCATGCACCTTGCAGAAATTGGCTCCACTCCGGAAATATGAATGCAGAAAGTAAACAAACAAAAAAAGGGATAAAAAAGAAAAAGAAAAGAAGATCAAACACCAATACATGCTATCCGTAGGTAGAACGTTATATCCTGTTCTGAGCTATCATTATCTCATTTCCGAAACACAATGAGGCATTAGAAAGAAAGAAAGAAAAAATAATTAATTAATCATGTCATATCGGTCGTCAGTCGGGTCCTCGACGTGCAAATCATATCACCAACAAAGCTGTTGATTCTTCGCTAGCCTCCTTCCTGAAGACTTTGCCCGTTGGGTCCACTACTTCTTCACTCAATTCCATAGGGCCTGCCTGTGGCTCCTGAACTATTGGATTAATTGGCCGCATTGAGGCGGAGGATGTCGTCTTTTCGGGGTTGGCCCCATATGATGACATTTTTGACTTGGCAAGATCCACTTCGGAAGCTTCACCGTACTCGATGTTATTATTGGAACTCATTAGTTGGCTGGGCACTGGTGACGGATCATGGTGCGCGGAATAATCTGCAGCAACTTGTACTCTTGACGTCTCCAATCTTTCTTGTACGCTGCCTGTAGGCTTTTCCCAGACTGCTGATGAGTATTGCATGAGAGACACAGTCGGCCGGGGTATCGTCTCCAACATATCTGGAGGAAACTGTTGCAAATACGACGTAGTCGCTGAGTGTCCGGTGTTCATGGCAAAGAAAACCACCAAGATGCTAAGAAGTGCGATTGCAACGTTGCGCCGGTCACTGGCCAATACCCGGATATAGTTCACCAAAAGGGTCTGAAGTTCGATTTCTGCTGCTGGGCTTCGAGTATACTTCGGTCTGGCAGGTTCCAGATGTTCGTTAAGTGTGGCCATCTTTGAAGCTGATGGCAATGAAGGTCTTTCTACCCTCTGAGCGGCGAAAAGTTTAGGCGTGTTGTTTGTAGAGGTAGAAGGAATCCGAGAATGAAATGCATCATTGTGACGGGCTTTGGGGGCTATGTCATTGACAGGCTCCTGTACCTGTGGCGCTTGAAGTTGGTTAACAGCATGGGGCGCCTTGTCCTCTAACAATCGTTTCTCCAGTTCTCTTCTCACTTCAGATGGAAGCCAGAGACCAACTTCCACATCAACCTTCTCCATTTCTTTCCAAGCTGCAGCCCATGCTCCAGCTCTCATCAACCCATTGGCTGCAAAAACCCTGATCTCCCACTTTCGGCCAGTATCGCCGTGTCGAATAACGTGCCCGCCACAATCCGGGCACTGCTCCCCTTGTTCGTCGTCTGTTGCGCTCTCCTCCGCCATAGATTGATCTTCTCTGTCTGCATCAGTTCCTTCATGGCCCAAAAAGTGTCCATGGTCAAACCTCGGGCGCTGCAACTCCAAACTTTCCAAAAGCCGCTCTTCCAGAAGATCATACATATCCTCCGGATGTGAGATAAGCACACCCCGCTCCCGAAGCACGACAGAGCCAATCTTGTCCTCTAGCAGCTTCCACCGCTTCCAGTACTCCGCTGGCAGTACCTCCCTCAGAATCTTCTGGTCTGGATAGCCCACTATCCCTGGTATGGGGAGTGATGGAGGGAGCAAGGTGCAATGTAGTAGCACGAGAGGATATTCCTTTTTGGTTGTCTGCTTGGCCACAATTCCAGTGGGTGAGTAACACGGAGATTGCTTGGTCAGCAATGGACCATCCGACATGCGATGCGCTCCCCTTCGTTTTGGTGGCGTCAAGTACTCGCCGTCACCCTCATCCTCAGTGTGCATCTGCATTGCTCTAACTGAGCTAGATTTTCGAAAGGCATTGCGCTGCTTCCGAATAGTAGGTACCAGTCTCAACTGTTCTCCCATCTCCTCGTGCTCGTTGTCGTTATGCTCGTCCCAGGGATGCGAAATCATATCTTGATATGGTCTACATACGACTGCTGATTTGGCCTCGTCGATAGAATTGGCAAGGACTGAGGCAGGAATCGAAGAAATCGAAGAACGACTGGATGCTCTAGAATTCACACCCCGTAGCTCCTCATAATCCAGATTTCTGTCCAGAAAGTCGCTAGATGATCGCTCCGTCGACGATGCCGAGGAATTGTACCCACAGTCCTGGGCTAGAGCGTGTATATCTCCATGTGCGGCGCCGGCCTCATCATGGTCTAAGAATCGGTGAGGATGGTCGGCTGTTCCTACCGTCGAAGGCTGTACATTGGTTGGACTGTACAAACAAAGGTCAGATTGCTCTTGCAGCGAAGCTGTGAATTCAATCAAATGAGAGGGATGGGTTCGCTCCTCCATTGAATTTTCGCTACTGCCAAGGGAAAAAAAGATCTAGTATAGGAATGGAGACCCGGAATGTTGCTTTTCCTTATCCAACACTGCGGTAGACAACAAATGGCTCCACCGGAATGTAGGGTAGTGGATCTTTGGTCGTAGTGTAATGTTAGTTGTGGGTTGGAAGGAAATTTGAGTAAGAATCTGTGCGCCAGTGTCCACACGACTATGGCAATTAAAGGCTATGATATGTATGGGATACTCTGTCTAGAACAAAGAATAGAAGTTTGAGGTTATAACGAATGCTGATTGATGATGGTCATGCCTTCACTGTGTTGATGTTGGGTTCACCGCCTTTGTCGTGCGGGGCAACCGTTGACTTTAGTGAAAGGAATCATTTTAATCTTATCTTCACTTTGACATTTACATACCCCAAAATGAAGTATATCCCATTTTGTAGATACATTCGATCACAGAATTTTTCCACCCTTTTCTGCTATTTTTCTTCTTTTTGATCAATGCAAAAAAATAGTACAGCGTATCTGTATGGTATTATGACACATGGCATCTGGATAGATGCACGGAACATACTTCGACACACAATACAATTGAATTTCCAGGCATAAAACGCCTAGAATATAGACGAATGCTTCCCTCACAAATAGACGCTTGTTCCATGCAAACTGTCAGAGAAAAAGTATGAGAAAACCAGAAGAAAAGCGCGCGCTTGCTCTAAGTTATATAACAAGTGATACCCAATAATCCTAGACGCCGAAAACCCTTTCCCAATCATGACAAAAGACGAAGAATCGTTGAGCATGACACGTGGACACCGTGGTAAGGGTATTACAAAGACAATGGATTTCAATGTGGCGGCCGTGAAGGACCGTCATCAGGATTCATCAGAGAGGGGTAGTTAGGATGATCGCCAAAATAGTTGAGGACATCTTGCGGAAGGTACTCCAGCCAAGGGAGGATCTCCCCACTGAAGGTGAATGGGAACTGGTCTTGTTGCTGAAGAGAAGCCATGTCGATATCCTGGCTTTCAATGAATACGTCCCCCACATGGGGGCCAGCTCCGTGCATTTGTGAGGGTCTGGAAACTATGTGGGTGCTACCCGCTGGCTGCCCGTTGCCACCAGACGTGGCATTGTAGCTATAGGCGGAGGTTTCTGCATCTAGTCGGGACGAAGAAGCGGTAAGACTTGGGTTGTAGGCGGGATGAGAATGTGGAGGACGAGGGGCAGAAGTCGAATAGGATGTGTTCAGGCCCAAAAGAAGGCTCGCATCTGATGTTGAAGCGCGTCCGGAGGAGGCAAGTGGTGAATATTTTCCAGGCCCAGCTGTGATTGGCGAGCCTGACGTGGCGGTTGTTGTTCTGGAAGGCTCAAGTGATTGGGAGTAAGAACCCGAGTTCGCACCAGTACTGGACTGCATCGGTAAACTGGGGTAGCTATGGCTATACTGAGATGAATAGGCGGGCTTATTAGGGGCAGAATCCGGCTGGGCAGCAGGCATTTGATACAACACGCTTAAATTCGGCTGTGAAGAGTTGGTTGCTCCAGTCAAAGCCCACCCGATAGCTTGAAAGAAAGACTAAGTCAGCCGAGATATTGTTGAAGTTCAAGTCTTAATACAGAAGAGGGATAAGAGTGTTAAAAAAGAGTAAACTGCCCACCTTGACTAGGATCGATTCTTGGTGACCGAGCCTCCGAGCCTGTAACTGACTCGTCGGAGCCGCCAGTAACACCCACTGAAGTACTTGGCTGTCGCCAGCCTGGCGTGGCAAAAGGCTGAAGGGAGGGAGGCCCAGCCGTACCTTCCATCTCTTCCTCGGTGTACAAGAGAGGATCGACAATTCCCTTGGCCTTTTGGTCGAGAACAGTAAGTATATATTTGGTTCCCTCCCAGTAAGTCTCAAGTGCCTTCAACGCTTTATAGCACCGTTGATAATTTTCCTTTGCAGCAGAGGAGAGAAGAATGTGCTTAGCAGTTGGTTTTCGCTCTGTTCCACTTGATGGGTCCAGATTTGGCATCACGAAGCCACTAGTCTGGTTTGCCAACAGAGGCTGACAGGGAGGGGAGCCAGGCCTCGAGGACGGTGAAGAATAATATGTGCTCTCCATGAGGAAAGCACATGCAGCAATATACATCGGCTGGCTGGTAAAAGGATTGCCAATGAAGCTTTTCCCATCAACAAGCTCAGAGAAAGACAATATATCCGCAATTGTTTTAGCCGAAGACATCGATAACTCCCTGCTGTTCGGATAGAGGTGCTGTATAGAGCCCCCAAAAGAATTCAAAAGAGTTGGTTGGTGAAGGAGGACGATCAGAGTGTGAAACCAGAAATGGAGGAGAATGAAATTCGTTCCTTCTTTCGCCTTTACATATGCTTGAAAGTTGGCCGCGTTGAAATGAAGCCTCGGCGATAAACGCTGGTATATGCCGGTAAGATCACTTTCCATCCCGGCCAATCTTTTCAAGGTGTCTGTGGTGACATGATTCACATCCTGAATACCATTAATGAGATCCGTAACTCTGCCATAGAGATGTATAATGCGAATAAGCGGCGGAAAGGGCGCAGGCCAACCGTTAGGCAGCAGAGACTCTGATTGCAGGGGAAAACACAACTCTATGTCCTCGTCACGTAAGGTTACCGGCCGTCCTGTCCCGGATGAGATAACTCGATCAAGAAAGAATATACTCCAAAAAGTGTCAACCCTCTCTCGCTCCCAAGCACGTTGGATTTCGCTGTCTTGTGCATCATCCATCATGCTTTGAGAGTTTTGAGGGTCATCGTACTGTTCTTCTCTCAGCTTCCCAGCCTGCCCCGTCACAACTGCATTTGGTGTCACACCACTTTGGCCATAGTTATATTTTAGCCCCTGCAGTTTTTGCATCCCAAGATCCTGGGCCATGCGAATAGAGATGCCTAAATACATCCAGAGGCCACTGTCGTGATTTGATCCAAATTCCTCGTAGGCTAGCAACAGACATGCCTGGACAACAGATAACGTAGGGCATGATAAAGAGTCGACGAGTGCGCCCATTGCTCTATGGGCAAATGGTTGGCCGCGGTCTGACTTCCTCACATCAACCTTAGGTTCTGAACCATCAATAGGCGGAGCTTGGGGTGGACTCAATAGAGGATGAGGAGAGAATCGCGCGGATAAGGCACAGACAGCATCTACGAGCATAGTGTCGACCTTTTTGTCCTTAAGGTCACGGAGAAACCTTTCACGTTGGAGGAAAGGGAAATTGCATCCCAAATGCACGAAAAAGAGATCACAAAGGTGTGTCACCAAATTGCTGACAGACAAGGAATCGTCCCGGTCATAAAAAGGAATGGTGTTTGCATCACGATTGTCGCGGTTATCAGCGATTGGATTTAGGCGACCAACCCCAAGATCCGAAAACTTTGGGCTTCGCAGAGGGGACAATGACTCTATAGGTGCCGAGATATCAATCAATATGCGTTGTAATAAGAGAGCAGCAAGGCATCAACAAGGTCCAGCGGGTCGACTGAGAAGATGTGAAAGATAAAGTGCTACTGACCTGAGGATAGCGATGGATTACTCTTGCGCGAGCCTCTAACTTGGACAACCTAAATGGAGGTTAGTACAAGAGCGTTTATCGTAATAGATCGGAGGGGCACTCGCACCATCTGTTTGAAACCAGGAACAATAGCGGTTGGCCCGAAGTACCTGAAGTAGGGAACATGGGTGCGGGCGGTAGAGCTCAAAGAGGTACGACCTGTTAAGGTAAGACTGCGGTAAGTACCTAAAGCTAGTCTTGAGGTTTATGCGCAACATACTACTCTCTGGACTTTCCCCTATAGTGTGCTGCTCAGAGTCCTTCGTCATCCTCAAAGATGTTTCCCTTGTCAAGGAGGCGTCTTTCGATTCGAACGGCTTAGATACCCCGGACGGCTTGTCCAGATGATCATCGCTGGGTGGTATTGTGGCCTGCGGGGGAGAATCTGGGGAACGACTCTCGACTTTTACCGCCGTACTGGAACTATCACTGGGTCCCAGTAGAGGAGGGATGGTAGGGTTGCGTGATGCGACATCGGATTGCGATCGAGTATGAGTAGACGGCTCGTTGTACCCTAAGCATATGTGATTATAATCGGAACATGTTTTGCACACTAGCCGAACCTTCCATCAGTAAACTGAATAGTATTTCATGGTAGTCTTGTCCACGCACCTGGTTGTTCACCCGAGCATCGTATTTTGCGCTTGCGACACGTCCGACATCTGTTCGGAAGGAGCTTGAGTCAGCATCGCAGGGAGGCGACATTGGACGAAGGTTCACAGGGACAGGCTTACGCCGCGTTGACTCGACGTCGTTTAGTCTGAGGCTGTCCATCAGTTGAGACAAAGCGAATCTGCCTTGGAGGGGGAACATTATTGCCGCCGTTCTTCTGGGGAGAAGGGTGGCTCATTGCGAGCAAGTGATCATCCGTGGTCACCACACATTGGGCACTTGCTTCTTCCTCACTCTATAGCAATCGTACGTCCCCGGTAACGCTGTCCGGGGGAGTCGCAAAAGCTGAAGATAACAAACGGGAGAAACGGCGATACGGAATATCTTTCGGAAGAGGCACCAGGTAAAGAGAAAAATCCATGGACAATGGGTGGAATCCCACGTTGTTCCCGGCAGTAAGATCGCGGGTTAGCGTGGAAATAATGTGGGTGGTGAGGGGAGCGTGTGATATGTATCGTATTACTATTATGTATTTTTCTTCTTTCTTTTTCTTTTTTCTTTTGTGCTGCTTTGTTTTAGCGGTAATTGGTGATAGGGGCCAACTGGACGGCGGCAGTTGGTTTAACCACCAGCTATCGCACTGGAGTTGTATGGTATGGTTACTTAAGGTAGTACCTTAGTGCCTAGAAATGAAGTGCTTAGGCACTACCTGGGATCGACTGACCACCTGGACTCACCAATGGTGAGATCAATGATCCGTAAAGAAAAATACCTAGTTTTGGCCTGACCGCCCAGATCTATGTTCTTTGTTTAACGTTCAGGCTTCTGGAATTCCTCCGCATGACCCAGGGTTCTTTACAGCTAAATTACATATTTTACATTTGTTGTCATAATTATTAAAACCACACAAATGTACACAAAGGAAGCTTAAGAAAATTTCTTACATCCACGCGACTGACTATCGGCGCTATTCCGGCCCCAACCAAAGGATTGGGCCCCGTGATACTCATGTGACATGCTCCAACATACGGTCTACAGAGTACATACTCGGGACCTGTATTCGAGCTACAGTGTCAAGAGCTGCATCCCACGAAGATCTTAACCTTGCCACGTATGAAGCAACAAAGAAAATTTTAAGTGTAACTCTATTAACTGGATGAATCCCACGGTTATGGGTCGGTTCCTGCAGGTGTTCGTCTTCGGGTGAGAAGGATATTCTTTATCCAATTTAACCGCCTCAAGAACTGGACGGACCATCGCATATAAAGCTGGAGTCTGGACTCTGGGGATTGGGGAGTCCTTTCCGTCCGGAGTCCCCGAGACAGTGGATTGTTTGGGGCAATCCACTGTCGGTCTCGTCCACTCAACGTCTCCCAGACCAAAAATAGACCCACGTATCGCAAATGTCAACCGACCTTCGGTGTCAACTCCGATCCGATCATTCACCAAATCCCGCCTAAAACAGGCGTCAGCTCCAACCCACAGGCATTAATTCCAGTATTCCAGGTTTTCTTGCCTTTAGATGAAATCTGAGGAAAGTTATCGTGGATTATCAGACTTGGCCTCGAGAAAGTCCCTCGAAATTATCTACATACTATTTCTAAACAGGTAACATGTCTTTCACATTGGGCTAGTGCTATAGAAACGACTCGTTACATACCCCTAGGATAAATTCAGCAAATACAATCTCTGCCAATTTTTTAACTTCTCGGCTGTCTATCGTGACTGACGATTCTATTTATAATACATGATAAATCTGTCGGGCACAGCTCTGCCATATCTAAAATTGTGGTCTAGGGATCTCGATCGCATCCGTGGTTCGCCCGTATTGAATCCCTCCCAGTCGACTGATGGGCTTCAAGACCTTCAAATCGATAACGCTCCTGTCCTCATTGATAGCGTCCTCTCTTGCCCAAAATCGGACACCCTCAACGATTGCCAAAACTCCGGTTTTCTTTCCGGGTGTCATTCTGCTCTCAAATTCCTTAGTTTCAACGAGTTTGCCTTCGATAGATAAAATTGATTCTTGCACGCGTGCTGGTTGGACAACCGAGCTAGGCGCTTGGTGTAATCCAGATACCTCCCATTCGGAAACGCCATACGGAGCGTTAATCGCAGTCGCATTGGCTGCCTCCACGAAATGTTCGGAAATGATGTTTATCACGCATTCTTCCGTCTCGGCGAGGTTCTTCAGCGTGTCTTTGGCTTTCTCTAGCGACCTAACAAATCCGACAACAAAAAGGGGAGGATCATGGTTGATGACCTGTGAATAACTGAAAGGCGCTAAGTTGGCAGACTTGCCATCCTTCGATTTAGTACTGATAAGTGCTATTGGCCTAGGAACCATCCCCGAGATCAAGATCTTGTAGTTCGATGCGACCGGTCTCCCTTCCTCGTGGGGATCAATTTCAACATGGCCCTTCTTTAAACTCTCGCCGCCATCATTCGCGCCCTCACCCTGCTTCCAGTCTGGCTTAGGAGGCTTTGAGAAAGTGACCTCTGCATCACGCCTGAAATCCGGTCGAGCAGCCTGGATCTTCTCGAACTCATCCCCGACTTTAAAAAACGCCGACGTCATACTGAATAGACGGCGACACTGAGGCGTAGGGGTAGGCTTGAAGTTGTGCAGCCTCTTTTCGCTCCCACTATGTTCTCGTTAGTGCCATCAACTATTGCGACTTGTGTGACATGCACTGTGCCTAGATTTCTGACACCTTTTCGAGTAGTAGAAAACTTACGATGACTTATAGATTTGCTTACTAGATATCCTCAAGATACTTCTCATAAGAGTGCGATACATGTAGGATCATTTACAACAGTAGGTTGACCTTATCAAGCTGCTCTCATTGAGCAGATTTGCGGCTTTCTCACTTGAACATTCACCGTAGTATAATTCCACAGATCAGACTGAGTACTATTCTCCAAGTTCCACGTCCCTGTCTACTGGAATCCTCGACAGAGTGCGTGGAAACTAGGCTTATCTACCGACTCTCGGGCCGATAGTTTGTCAGCACCCGAAATTGACCCCGCATCGCACTCACGTTGGGGAAATTGGAGGCAGTGCTTGGACTAGAACCGAGTACGGAGTAATTGATGCTAAAATTGAAACTCATTTTTGAAATGACGAGTCAATTATCCCGAATGTAGTGAAGGATTTATGTACGCTTGATCCTCAGCGTATAGTTTATGTAAAATGTGCACTCCAGCACTGCTCGGAAAGCATTGAAATGAGGTTTGGCTGCGACGTTACACCCTTCTCCGCACCATCCCATCGCTATCCCATCACATCGGTCAGTCAGAGGGCGATGTGACTGGAAAAGAGTCAGAAACTCTCTACTAGTGTTTAATTATCATTTGTCAGTTTCGGCGATTCCCCCAATCATAGATAAGCAGGATGGAATGGGATACCTGTGTCCGGTAGGTATAAATGAGGCGCATTATCTCCTCCAGTACGAGTCTTATCATAAGAAGAGTATCTATGCTTCAGTAATTAGCTTTCTACCCCTCTTATCGTCAAGCAACACCCACTCCGATTATCGCCCACTGCATCATCACTGACTGAACATCTAAAATGACCCAGCAGCAGGACTTTAAAACCTTCAAGCTTGGGGATTGGGAGCTTCAGAGTGGAGAGAAGCTTGCCAATGCGCATATTGCTTACAAGACATTTGGCGATCCCAAGTCACCGGCTATCATTTACCCCACATGGTTTTCCGGATGTACGTATCAGAACATACAGGTTTCAGTAAGGGTACTGATAGAACCTGTCCTACATCTAGTGATCTCGGATAATTTCTGGTTGATCGGAGAGGACAAGACGCTCAGTCCGAAGGAGTACTTCATTATTATCCCCGCGCTCTTTGGGAACGGCCAGTCAACCTCTCCGTCCAACTATTCCGCTTCCGATCCATTTCCGAAATGCGCCTTCTACGACAACGTGCGCGCCCAATATACGCTGGTCACACGGCACTTGGGCATAACGCATCTGCGCGCCGTGGTCGGATGGTCAATGGGTGCAGCCCAAAGCTATCAGTGGGCAACACAGTACCCGGACTTCATGGATTTGGTGATCCCATTCTGCGGGGCAGCAAGGACCTCCGTGCATAACCAAGTATTCTTGGAGGGGGTGAAAGGTGCGCTGTTAGCAGCAAAGCACACTTCTTCTGCGGTTTTGCGAGAGACCCGCTCTGGACCAGCTTCAAGAACATGGAACGCCCAGGAAAGAGAAATTGGCTTGAAAGCCTTGGGCAGGGTTTATGCAGGCTGGTGGGTACTGAAAATACGTTGTTTAAAGTGGTGACGAATTCTGACGGTTCTTTCTCGTATAGGGGGTTTAGCCAAGCTTTCTACAGAGAAAGGCTGTATGAGAGTGTGCTCGGCTATAAAAGTCTGGAGGACTTCATGCAAGGTTTCTGGGAGAGGTGGGCTCTCTCCAAAGGTAAATAGCCCATTTCTGGTTCCATCAGTGATATATCTCGTACTGATACAGCTGGCCTAGACCCTGAAAATATGCTGGCTATGCTGCAGACATGGCAGCAAGGAAACGTGAGCAACCAAGAGCCATACAATGGCGACTTTGAAAAGGCTATGGGCGCAATAAAAGCAAAGACACTGGTACTACCAGGAAAAACGGATCTTTATTTTCCGTAAGTGATGTCTCCCTAGCTCGGAATCCCGCTGACAGCCAACTGTCATAGGCCGGAAGACTCAGAGTATGAGGTTGAATGTATGAGGCCGGGGATTGGTACCCTTCAAGTCATCCCCTCCATTTGGGGTCGTAAGTGTAACCTTATCATGCTGCAGAAGGATTAGTGCTGACTGTTTTACTTGCAGACTGGGCCGGGGGCCCCGGTGATAATAAGAATGATGTTGAATGGATTGACAAGCAACTGTCACATTTTCTAGGGGTGAAATCAAAAGCACCATTGTGACCGATTGGGGCATCAATCTACACTGTCATAGGGATTTCCTTGAAGGATTTAGGGGGTGTTAGGCGACAGTATTTAGTTGGTAAGGTATAGTCTGTATTTGATGTGTGTTGGACAAACTTTGATTGGCGGTTGTAAGCATTTTGGAAATATGATAGTAGCACGTGACATGTTTAGGTGAATGCTGAGTCAGTTGACCAGCTGTGGCGCTGATAAAGCTTTGAGACTCTTCCAACTCCGATCGCTGACTTGATCAGCCTCTCATTAATCATTCGGCTCTATCGTTTGCCTTTCTCCCTTTAACTTCCCTTCACTTTAATTCTCCCCTTCCCCCCCCCCCCTAGCCTGGTGACCACTGAGTACCGCGTTTCCTTTGTTTTCCCATCTCTGACAGACTTACGTTCTTTGATAAATCCTCTGTCTTTTATCTCCGCTTTCCGAGACTTAAAGCGCCGCATGATTCTGTGTCTCTAGTTCGATAGTCATTATGGCCACACCACCAGTTCGCCAATGGGGAGTCACTCCTCCCATTTCTACAGTTCTTCCTACCCCAGATGAACTTGCTGCAAATGACGACCTAGTATCTGAACTGAAGCTACAAAACAATTTCGAAAGCCCTACAGAGACCGAGCAAAGGTAAGGCGATCGCGAGTCTTTGACGATGTTCGACATGAGCGCTCATTACTTTCGCTATACAGGAAGATCGCGCTTCAGCTCATACAACGTGTCACGGTCGAGTTCGTCAAAGTCGTCAGCCGAAAGAAGGGACTATCTCCTGCTGCAGTAGAGGCAGCAGGGGGAAAGATATTTACCTATGGAAGTTATCGTCTAGGGGTTTACGGACCTGGTGAGCCACCAGTGGGCTTTGATCGTCATATTGTTCTCCTAGTATTAATTGCGCTGTGTGGCAGGGTCGGATATCGATACTTTGATTGTCGGACCGAAGCATGTTATCATCGATGATTTCTTTTCAGACTTTCCCCCTGTTCTTGAAAGGATGGCTCCACAAGGGGCTATTGAAAAGATGACACCCGTTCCAGATGCCTACGTTCCTATCATCAAACTCGAATTGTCCGGTATTAGCATCGACTTGATTTTTGCCCGTCTGATCGTTCCCTCAGTCCCACTTAACCTTGATTTGAAGAACAATGACTACCTTAGAGGTTTAGATGAAAGGGAAGTCCGATCGCTCAATGGAACTCGTGTAACTGACGAGATTCTGGAGCTCGTACCTCAGCAGAAGACTTTCCGTCTTGCGCTGCGTGCGATTAAGCTCTGGGCGCAACGTAAGGAGCGACGTCTATAACTCTTGCAGTGGCCACTAGGCTAATCTTTCTGCACTTTGCATAGGCAGGGCTATATATTCAAATATCGTGGGTTTCCCCGGTGGTGTTGCTTGGGCTATGCTAGTCGCCAGAGTATGTCAATTATACCCTCAGGCGACTGGGTCGGTGATTGTTGGCAAATTTTTCCGGATAATGAACAAGTGGGCTTGGCCTCAGCCGGTACTATTGAAACCAATCGAGGATGGCCCTCTCCAGATGAAAGTTTGGAATCCGAAGGTAGGTATCTCGACTGGTTACTTAGCGCTTTTGAGTAACCGCTGACCGGGCTTAGATCTATCATGGCGACCGATTTCATCTGATGCCTATCATTACCCCTGCTTATCCTTCAATGTGCGCCACTCATAACGTCTCCATGTCAACCAAGACCGTTATCCTCCGCGAGCTGCAACGAGGTGGTGATATCGTAGATAAGATCTTCTTGAAGCAGAACACTTGGAATGACCTGTTCGCGCGACACTCGTTCTTCACAGCCGACTATAAGTATTACTTGAGTATCACTGCATCAAGCAGAACCAAGGAAGCCGAAGCGGTCTGGTCTGGTCTTGTTGAATCGAAGATCAGACATTTGGTCGGCGCTTTGGACAGAAAATCGACTATTGCGGTGTCCCACCCTTTCCCCAAAGGATTTGAAAGGGTTCATATCGTCAATAGTGAGGAGGAGACAGAAGCTGTGAAGAACGGGTCTACCAAGTACCAAGATAAGGGACAGAAGACAGAGACTACTGATGAGATTAACGACGCTGCTCATCAGGCCGCGGCTGACAGCCAGATCGAAAAACGAGATGTTGCAGAGACTGTGGAGAACAAGGCCAATGGCGAGAACCGAATCATTTACACCACCACGTATTACATCGGGCTGGAACTGAAACCATTGGAGCCAGGTATGTTGGTCGATATCCCTTTGTGATCCCACTGACTTGAGAAGGTCAATCTCGGTCTCTGGATATCTCGACGGATGCCCAGATATTTAAGTCGACTTGTACCTCTTGGCCCGGATATCAGCCAGGAATCAACGACCTGGCTATCACCCATGTGCGCAAGTAAGTATTTTTACCAAACATGCAAGAGTTCATACTTTAACTCTTGGATCAGCTTCGACCTGCCTGAAGACGTCTTCCAGCCTGGAGAAACTCGGCCTCAGCGACCTAAGAAGAAGATTATCAAGAAACCCGGAGCGGGCCAGAAACGAAGCATCGAATCATTGGACGTAAGTGCATGCAAGAAAGCCAGAGTGGACCTTGGACCGCGAACCACTTCTACGGAATTCGACACCTCGCATTAGCGATGCTCAAGAGTTCTGGCATCTAATTTATTATGACTGATATCAACCGTTTACTTCTCCGCAGGATCCGTCACTTCCGGCTGCGAAACGCCAAATACCATCCAACGGGGTCCCAAGCACAGCAACACCTGCGTGAGTGCCTGTCAACTGAAATTACACCCAATTCACGACGGGCAGGCTCCCTGATTGAGTCGTGAGTGAGACGCCCGACAACGACCACCACTATTCCAGCCATGCAAGGAACCACCTCCTGGTTGGATAATACGTACTAAATGGGCGACAGTCCTCTAATCCCAGCTGATTCCGATTAAAAGCCTCCAGTTGAGCTAGTGGTACGTCATTTGCGATGCACTTCTGCCACTGAGGCCAGGAGTTTCAAGGTTGGTTTCTTTTCTCTTTCTGCTGCCTTTCCTTCCATGACCACACAGGTGTCATTTCGGTCCATCTTGCCTCTTGAGCGACTACCTCATTGCAGGCGTCCGTGGCAATCTACGCGGTCCGCATAGATTCTAATTTTCTCGGTGTCTCCTCCCTGTTACTGCACAGATTGTAGGTCTACACTGCGGGTGGTTTGAGACTGTACATATCACCTTGATGTTCAGTTAGGCCTGGTGTAAGTGCCAGCTAGGGTTAGTCAAAATAAAGACTTTTCGTGGCCTACGGGCCGCTAGTACTTAACACCTATCTATCTGTAGTGCTATATGATATAGATTTAATGCGCAGTGACAACAGTCATTGACTAGCCATGTCAAAAACCAACAACCTAAGAATGCCACCTCAGGCCCCTGCAACATTCACCAATAATCCAACGTTTATTCTTGACATGGCAAGGCGTCTCATTGAACATTCACGTCAGCTGCAAAGCAAGGTAGAAGAAAATGTGCGGACCCCAAACAGCGAGCGTCGCAAATGTCGTTCTCTTATTGGCATACGATGAGAACAGACTGGCTCTCGAGGCCAATATGCTTCGGTTTAATCAAAGTGTATCCCCTGATACCCAGGTTGGGGGGCATTGGTCCAGGCGACAAAGCTACTGGACGACTTTGCCGTCGAAAACGCCGTGCGAGAGGACGTGTACCAACTAGTAGACGCTGTCTGGCAGAAACGAGAAGAACTTGATCTCGACCCTGAGTCTCAGCGACTGTTAAATAACAAACAAGGATTTCTCAAGAACGGGCTGACACTATCTTTGGGACCGGATCGGGTTGCTTTCAAGGAAATCCAAGTCCGGCTTCGTAAGGCCCAGAACGAGTTTCAGCGCAGTATCACCGAAGAAGGCGGCGGTATCTGTTTTACTTTGGATGAACTCCAGGGTGTTCCAGAGGATGTCCTGTCGGACTTACACCGAAGAACGGAAAGCTTGTATCACCTTTCAGCAAATCGATATCCTTCCTGCGTTGACGTATGATAAGAATAGTGAGACTCGGAAGCGTCTTTATGTTGGTTATGAGAATAGGCGCTATGCTAACTTGCCTCTATTCCGCGACGCAGTTCTTCGTGACAAGGCGGCGCGCCTCTCGGGATATCCCAGTCATGCGGGCTTGTCATTGAGGATAAGATGGTGCAGAAGCCGGAGACGGTGGAGAAATTCTCTGCAATCTTGCATTCTCAATTGAAGGACGCTGGCCAAAGAGAGCTTGACATTCTAAACCAGTTGAAGAAGGCAGGCGAGGAGTCGAGATCACTATTTTCTCCGGGACCATCAATGCTATATTCGACTTAGTACTGAGAGGGATTATTCGGTGAATTTACAGGACACTACCGGATACTTCCCATTGAAACCACTGTTCAAGACATGTTAAAGATGTTCGACGAGCTGTTCGGCCTCGCGTTTGTAGAAATTGCAAGTTCAGCAGGTATAGTTAATTCTAGTAGTATACCATGGTATCCAGATGTTCGAGCGTTTAAAGTCTGGGACCATGACGAAGGCTGCAGCGCTTTGCCGGATAACTCTATCAGGATCTTTTTCCCTTGGGAAGGTAAATATCCAGGCGCTGCGAAGTTCAACCTCTAGCCGGAATGTGCTTGAGCCTTGTCCTCAGATATGTCTCCGCTCAACTTACTAACCACGCCTAAAGGGCTTTCGGCAAGAAGACAGAACGCGGCAATATCCTTTGACAACCACGGTATGCAACTTCATGAAGGCCACTCCAGAAAGACCAAGCTTATTGAAACACCAACAACTCGTTATGTTGTTTCGTGAGCTAGGACACGGTATCCACGATCTAGTATCTAGAATGCTCTAGGCCCGCTTCCTTGCACCAACGCTGGCTAGGACTTTGGCGAAGCACCCAGTCAGATGCTCGAGCATTAGTGTTGGTCTTTGTCACAGTAAAAGCGGCTGAGCTAGCATTATACATCGCTTCCCTCATGGAAAGCATCGGCAGAAAGGAATCCTGGTAGCACTACCTCTAGACAAATCCCCGACGAGATGGTCGAAAGTTTCTTCAAAACCAAACACGCGAATGTGCCTCTTCTCTATCTATATCAATTGCAAATTTGCGTCTTTGACATGATGGTTCATGGTCCGGAGAGCCACGAGGCCATTCAGCAATTGGATATCTCCACGTGTTACAATCAGCTGCGGAAGGGTTTTCGGAAGATAAATGGTCCTATGGCTCTGGGTTAAAGGTATAACTGGAGGCTTGGTACGCAGTGACAGATGCTTTGATAGATTTTAGGATGCAGGATTCTATAGCTATTTGTGGCGAGTCCCATTAAACCGTGGTGGGACCGTCATTTATTTTGTGGATGCTAAATTGTGCAGCTGCGATGTCTATGCCGCAGATATTTTCCACGTTACCTTCAAATGAGACCCGATGGATCGATCTGTCGGACGCAGATACCGATCTACTATCCTAGAGAAAGGCGGGAGTCACGATGACAAGCATATTATGACTGAGATTAGAGATTCTGGATCGAAGAGTCCGGATGGAGGCTTTTCGTCCCGAATTAGGGCTTCTTGATATCATAAAGAGGAATAACGGCAGCTACTTCCCTCTATCATTCTTAACATGATCTTATTTTTTGGCTAACTATTCTCGCAGAATGCGTTGAGACGACCCATCCTCTCATCAACCCAGGCAATACAGTGTACAACATAATGGTTGCCGCAGTGTATTCGGCTAGTGTATGTGAATCTAATATATTGTATGTACGCATCTCTAACGACCCGCATTTCAAATTCCACGCTCCCACTAACTCGCACAACGTCGACTCGCCCCCAACATTCCCAGGGAAAACCACAAAGGGAACGCTTTGGTGCCTCGAAGTGGACTCATCACATCGCCACAATGGCACACCATGCGCTGCCTGGCCAACAATCAACGCTCGTTTCGTATTCAAGCCATTGGTAGCAGCATTGGAGGATGTGATTCCACCCTAAAGCCATCAATATTTTATCCAACCTTGAACCATGCTAGAATGCTACTTACCTTGGCAATAATATACCTCGGCCGCACCTGAATCTGTCGAAGCACACTCGCCAAGGCACTCGTAACCTTCGTTCTAATAGCAAGTGATGATAACGCACTATCCCCTACGATTAGCTTACGGCTCGTCATGACTAAAGTATCCTGGCCAGATTGGATATGAGACTCCACTTCTTGAACTGTTCGCTGAATCGCATGTGCAGCACGCTCGGACGACGTAATCAGCTCCTGACGTTCATTTCTATAATTGCAAGCTGCCTGCTCCCCCACGTTTATCGGTCAGCACTTTCACCTGTGCCGGTGTCTTGGGTACATAGGTTCCAGCAATTATCAACCCGCCCGTTGTTCTGGGAACGGGAAGCTGGAGCTCTATCGCTGATATCGGAGATTTGGAACGGATTACAAGCCTTGTAGGCACGAAGGCTGCCCCGGTGCGGTAGAGGAAGTGTTTACCTTTGGCTTCAGCTACTTGCAAGTCAGTTCCTGATAAGTTATGAGCATAGATAGCCTCGGGGTCGAGGGAGCCTACATACCCAATAACAACCCTGCAACAAAAACATGCATATCCGACTCCGCCGCAGCATTAACGATAATATCACATATCACTACTCTTAGAACAGCCCATCAGCCTCTCATAAACCGCCTAAGGTCCCCCTCCCGAATATGCGTTATCGTCACCGAATGCAACTGGTCCGGCCGAAACCTCCCCAGCGCCTTCTCCACAATATAATCCCCAAGACTCGAACTCTTACCGAAAAGTAGCATCCTTACCGGGCAAGAACTAGGTTCTCGGAACTTAGCAGGTGACAAATATATATATTTTTGCCCGCTTTCCATGTAGTACGATCAACAAAAAGCCGATGAATAACATAACACCAAGCAAATACCAACATCGACAGGCAAGATGGCCGAGTGGTTAAGGGTGAGTAACTGTCAATCACAAATCATTGCTTGCTTACTAACAAACTTTCAGCGGTAGATTTAAGAGCCTCTAATTGGCTAAAATCCCTACTATCGAGAGATTCCTGGGTTCGAACCCCAGTCTTGCCATCATTTTTTTGGCTGTTATCCGTTTAACACCTTTCCCCCCTCCAATAATAAAAGACTGGAACCTCTATTTCTTTTCATTTAACGTACGTAGTCAACCACCCCACCGAGTTGAGAATTTTCCCCCGCTGTCACGGTGTGCCTGCGGGCACACCTGCCTGCCTGTCACAGATCGAATAGCGATTCAGCCTGATGACCGTACAGGATACCCTGACCCAGGTGCGTAGACAATCGGCCACCGATGAGGAACATCAGGCCACACGACAGATTGGGTTCAAGGGGGATTCTGAATCCTTTAGGCATGGAGCCTTCAGCTATAAATTAGCGAATCGTTAGTAGTAGTAGGAGATCAAGAATCAGTCTCCTGTCCGAATAGTATCTACTGCCTGCCTTTGACCTCTCTCTGTCCTTTAGCCTACGTACCCTTACCTAGTTGACAGGTCCTCTACCCTGAATAGTAGATACCCTTGACACTGCCTGTATGAATCCTGAATATGCTTATATATGTGAGTGTAGTACAAAGCCTTTCGGCTTTGTATCTTAGTCTTTCGCTGATAACGCAGCGGCTAAGCTTCTGAATGCACCTAGAGGTCACACCGTGACAGCCGAAACCGATAACTTCTGTAAGCATAATATAATTATTTGTCTCTATATATCTGTCCATGCTTCGCAGCTTCTTTAACTACTTGGTATTGGTATATTTGGCCCCCTTTATTGTGCGTACGGAAAACTTCTTGAAAAGCGTATAGTTACCGGTAATAATTATATTTATAAAGAAGACTTTCTATCTCTATATCTAGACGCGCGTGCTAAAGGAGTAGCTCTAGCGAATATCTATAACAGTCTACAGAGTCAGGGCTAAAGCTATTTAATCAAGAGCGCGTTCTTTCTAAGCTTATATTTTAACTACGTACGTTAATACTATCACTAGTTAAAGATCTAATTTTCTCTGCTTTTCAGACTTCTTAGAATTCTCGCCAGCTAGATCGAAAGATTCGCAGTTTATAGAATAGCCTTAGTACAACATGAAAGCTTTCTAGTAGTCTAATTGCTCATATTCAACATCTTGAAAAAGCTGCGCAAATGGCGATGTATACTAACCTTCTTTTACAGCAAGGAACTAGGTATTTACGAGCTGAGAATAAGCGGAAATGTTAAAAAAAGACTACAAGACATACTATAATAGGGAATAATAGACTTTTGATAGTACAGGAAGGTAAAAATCGCGTTCAGCAGCTTGATACACAGCTTAATGAGCAGCCTGAGGAACATACACCTGTGCCTAGACACCGGGCTCCTCAAGGCTGCAGTGGCTGTGGGATAGTCAGACATACTATCAGAACCTGCCCTAATAATAGCGTCAAATTGTACCGTCCGCAGGCTTTCCAGCAAGACTATTAGACCACAGCCCGTCCCCGTAGTTATAAGTAGACCACTGGCTGAGGAGAAGCTCGATTGGTCCTGGGGATAAGCATCCGCAGCGCTGGTGAGCCAGATACCATGCCAGGAGTTGTGAGCGCAATGTTTTAGGGAGTTGACTGGACTCGCACTTGGCTCCGGACGTCTTTATATGTATTCACTCAAACAGCCCACGCATTGAAGACTGACGGTGCGCTTAGTAGTAATAACGCGTAGAAAATATGCAGATATTCATCTATACTACAGGTAGAACTGCTTCTATGTTTTGACTTATTGCACCGCTTAGATGAACCACAAAGAACTACGTATGCCCTAGGGTCGAGATTGTCAGGCTACGGCCAGCAAGGTCTTAAGGCTGCATTGTAGATTAGCCAGGGGTCCTAGGTAGGGGATGGACGAAGGCCTGAGGCTGACGGTTTCCTATATTCTGGAAATCGACAAAAAGATTTCGCCATGATCGTTGGCGGCCGCCCCAACTAACCAGCTAAGCATATCAAAGAATAGTATGGTTTGAGACGGGTTTAGATAGGAAAGAGATCTATCAATGATAAAACCAGATCATGGGAATACTGGCAAATCTATGAAAGTCATTGTAGGTTATCTTGCCTAGGAAGAAGATGCTCGCTGACATGACATACGCACAGGCTTGCCACCTCCAGACACGCGACCATTCCCTATCCGGTATATCTCTCCATGTATCCAGGATACCAGTTGTGGTGGGATTCGATTTCAGTCTTGGATCGAGTGGCACGATCGGCTCGTCATCATCCGGAAGTGTAGAGGCCGCTAACCGGACAGAAACCGTTCGCACCGGAAGTGTAGCCATATACGTTATAAAGCTCGGGGTCAGGCCTATGGCGTCAGGCTTATAGCCTCGACGTAATGCCTGGATACCTTCTAGGTCAAGGTTTTCGACGTCAATAAAGCCTGCTCGATTGTATAGAGATATTGTAAGTTCTAGCGTATATATTTTCACTAGCCAATAGATAATGGCTTCTAAGACGATGATAGATACAACACGTATCCAGCACTTTAGTCCAGGACGTCTTTGATAGATGCATTTTGCGGATGGCTTGGCGATAACCTTGTGGACGCAGAGGACCTGCCATATTGGCAAGAAGAGCTACGAAAAGAATTGAGCGTAGACTTTCTTTCCATAGGGAATTGTCACTGGTTGGGAGTAGCGCTGGAAGGAACGCACTCCACGTAAAATCATATGCGATAAATAATATGATTCCGTATAGCTAGAAGAATGGTCGAGCGTGGACGCGTAAATGGTGAACTGTGGTACGTAAAGAGTCGGTTATGCCAAGCTGGGGATTTTCACCTGTGGCAATGGTTTGTATGACTATCGCGTGGGAATAGTGAACCTGCGGATGTGTATAAGTGGGTATGCCATATATGGTTGGGGGCCACGTGGTGTTCGGAATGGTTTACTCACTAGCCACTATAGCACAATGAGAAGTTCTGTCAACATTTTTGATGAGGGGCAGAGGAGAAGGAATCGTTAACAGGAGAGCGGGTCTGGCGGAGATTTAATATCGGAAACACTCTGAAAGCTTGGAAAAAAGTAACATTAATGATCCGTTGGTTGGCTAGAGACACCTTCTCTACTGTAACACCGGCCCCCACTATAATAGATGAAGCCCTGAAGGTTGGCCACGGAACGGTTCGAGATACTACAAGACTCCTAGTGCTTCCATCACTTCGATCCACCACCATGGCCCAGACTCCCAGAGATACCCGAGATCATTGGCATGGCTTACAAGATGTTACAACCTACAGGCATGTCGGACATACGCCGCAATTAATACTATTCTCTTTGCTCTCTTTACCCTCTTCTCTTAACTTGAGGGCCAGTTCCCGCGTTCTTCTCTCGTCATCTTTCACAAGCTAGAGACTATTAGCGAGACCTTGCGACTTTGGTAGAGTTGACCAAGTCCTCTGCAAGACGTCCCGTAGTCTTGTTTGGATCACAGGTGCTGGGATTCCACTCCTCGAGCCCAGGACTGCTTCGACTACCGTCATGCCATTGGCAGCACGACTGGCAACAAAGTCGACTCCCTGGGCAATGGCAGTCCATGGGTAATCTCGGAGTGGTTGACGGATCGCCCTTCCAGTTTCGGAGTTCCGCACCATATAGGACAGTGTTGCACCCCCCAGACACATCGCTTCAAAGTTACAGTATACCCATTTCAACTTCTTAGCCCTCTAAAAATCCCGTCGAGGACGAATTGAGAGGCTCGACCGAGGTTTTCTCCTGGATTGGATTGACTCAAATGCTGTGGATTCTGCTGAAACTCCAGATCAGTGGATAAAAACATGCCAAAGGCTTCGTCCACATAGGCACCGTCTCCAGTGTGGTTAGTTTTGCTCACAGTGCGAAGAGTCCATGCGCAATCAGGATCTTCGTATGCTCTTCATCCTGCGCGCGAAGATGTATAGGTAGTCCGCCTCAAAGCCTTCGCTCGTGGGTGTATCGTACTTTTTAGAGACAGAGACCACCTGGGTGGATTTGCCGGCAGCGGTGTTGAAGGCATGCAGGTAAAGGCAACCATTCGTATTCTGAATAGTTCCGACAATGGAGCCGGTGCAATCATCGTTCTCGTAAACACTGACCGAGTATTTGTTATCATCGATATTGTCAACCTCAACAAGAAGTGACGAGGCAAACACTGTCATTTAACTTGTTACAGGCGCTAGGTCCTGCAAGCCGGTGAAAGTCCAACTTGAGCTCCTGGGCAGCGTTCGCCTGTGTACTCAGATACTGTACCCAAGCGCAGTCGCGAAGAGGGCCGAATAAATTAGAGAACGAAAAATCTTTTCAAAATAAAAACCTGAAGAAGAAGAAGGGGAGGAGGAGGAGGAGGAGGATGAAAATGATGACGATGCTTCGAGAGAAAAGCGAGTTCTCGACCTGGGACTTTATAACCTCTTTGCTGGAAGCTCGCCATATGTTCATACTTGAATTTCAAGGAGGACTCGGGTATTCATCGGTCTTTCTGATAAAAGCCCATACTCTCCGCCTCAATGGGTCTGGCACTCTGGTCATGATGCTAGGTCATGGTGGTTACATCACTTGTTAATACATCCTTGATAGTGGTTGTACTAGCGATCCTAATGCTATAAGACGGGGGGACACTACTGCCGACATCTGCATTTGTATTAGCTACTACCAGACTCATCCCATTTGGATTAGCTAGCGTAGAACAACGTCTGAAAGTCTCGTCGGGATATCAACATCGAAACATCAAATTCGCTCATTGTGTCATTTGGAGCCTTCCCCCCAGAGAAGGTAGTCGACCTGGCATCACTTCGGTTATACTTGGTTCGGCCGAAAGTCATATGTCCTACAGTGATCTAAAGTAATGTGGCTAGTACATAGAGTTTCATGATTAAAGAATCTACTAGTTATGCACTTCAACTTCAATTGTACTATCATATTACCCAACGCTTGTTCTCCTCCATCACGGAGATGTCACGGCACGTTTGGGTCCCTGTTGGATCGTCGTCGAGTACGACTAGACGGTTGAGGGATGAGGTGAGAAGTTGGGAGATCTGGTCCTGGGTGTCGGCGGGATATGCGGGGGAGAATTGGACATTCTTGTTGAGATGCCACGGCGACAATTTTCCTTGCCTGTGTTTTATCGAAGGTTGATTGGTATAAGGTATTTATGGATTGTTTTTTGGAGGGGCTGGAGCTCTCTATAAGTTCCAATGCTACATAAATAAGAGGGTGAGGTTCGGAGAAAAGTCCGATAAATCCTTTATAGATCATAACATCTCTATTACAGAAACGCACCTCACATTGCTATCCACAATATGATCCATCATCGAGTTATAAAAATCACTTAGCCTAACAGAACAATGTAATGAAAGAACAAGAGAAGAAAGAAAGGGGGGAAAGGAGTCTCTCAAAAAACACCGCAGGCGCCTTGAAATATGCAGAGAATATGCAAAATGGGCATGACTATGACAAAGATGCAGATGCTGTGGATCCAAAAGAGAAATGAAAAAGAAAAGAAAAGAATGAATCGTATAGATCCCAACCGGTCATTACGCATGTCCTCCCTTCCCTTTTATTGTGAATAGCAGAAACTGTTCCCTTGCACTTATCAAGCCTCATCGCACGCAATGCTCAAGAGATCTCTAAAAAATGTAGACATGAAAGACAGCCCACTCATTCCATCCGAACGGGTCATTAAGAAAACCCAATAAAAGAGATTCGAGATAGTATTAGTGAAGCCAAGCAGATTAGGACAGCATCAGAGTCCCTGCAGGAAGCGACAACTTTTCCAAAAACGAGGTTTAGCCGACAACACTTCGGAAACTCAGGGCTTCGAGGAAGGCACCGAGGTCTTCCTTTTGAACTTCGACCACGCAGTGATCAAAGCTGTCAATACGAACACGAGCGTTGGTTTCCTGCACGACTTCTTGGAAGGCGATTCCAAATCGATTGCGCAGAAGGCGCTTGTCAGCGTGTGTATCCTCTTCGTCCTCTGGCTCCGACTCCGACTCAGACTCCGATTCTTCCTCGCTTTCTTCAAAGTCCTCTTCGCCTTCCGCTTCTCGTTTGGCACGCTCTGCCGCGCGTGTCGCTCGCCGTTCTTCCTTTTCCTTTCGCTTTTTCTCTTTGGCTTCCTTCTTGTTTCGACTCTCTTCTCGCCGTTTGTTCATAGCGGCGAAATCTACTACCCCTCCTCCTCCGCCAGTACCGACTACTACATAGACACCTCTATCTTCATCGAGACCAGCCAGAACTAAAGGGGTACCTGCGGCACGCTTCCCCCCAATCTTAACTGAGTCGCCTCGCTCCCTTTCTTGGACCCTGATTGCCTCGGCAATCCACAGGGCCAACTTGGTCAGCGCCCCAGGATTAGTGAACAATTTCACGTCAGGCCCATCTTTCACGACCGCAATGCGAAAGGCCCGCAAGTGCCGAATCTGATGTTTGGAGAGTAAAGACGTGCCAGTGCGTAAAATGGAGCGGTGAAGGTGTTGGGCAAGGGGAAGCGCCGCTAAAAGAAGCGTCGGTGACTCTGAGGTTAGAGATAGCGCGTCATACGCATTCCAAAACCGAGGCACTATATCCGACTGTGTCGACTCTGTGACCCCTTTAGAATCCGAGGTAATCTTTGGTCGCGACAGGCGTTTTGCGTCCCACGATCCCGGCGCCTCCTCTGGCCCGACCTCAAGCATGGCACCGATGATGACACCCACGTCTGTGGCAGATAGGCAAGCCTTCCAGCCCCAGCAGCGCACGAAGCCCCATCCTTCACGAGAAGCAGCGTGTCCAGACGCCTCAGCGGGTACCAAACCATCCAAGCCGTACATTGGTGCATATTTTAGCAGGCGTTGTCGTAGTACTCGTTTTAATTCCATATCCATATGGGTGTAACTCTGGTGGGACTGGCTTAAACTGATGCCCATCTTAGCCAGGAGTTTGTTAAGTCGTTTCCTCCCATTCTCAGTCCATACATGCAATCTTGATGCTAAGTAAGGGCTATGGAGCATGCTATCGTATAATGACCAGTGTCGTATAAGAATAAAACGAGGTTCAGGCGATAAGCGTATTGATTTATCGGTGGGTGACTTCGCAGTGGTCGGAATAACACCGTTGATCTCTCCTCTTATATCTCGATCACGTTCGTAGGGGTCCGGCGGGTTTAGTCGGTGAACTTCGTCTCTTAATATTTGTCGAACGCGCTCGCCTCGTTCACCACCCCAACCGGCCGATCCTCCCGATTCCGAAGAGTTAGAGATACCAACTCCAGACATTGTACGACCGCCCAGCTCTAAACTAGACACTCCGATAATAGCAAGCCAGAGCAAGTCGTTGTCTTCACGCCCAAGTTCCGATGCCAGGGAGTACACAATAGAAGATATAGGTTCTGAGTACGAGGTTCCCGAAGAATAGTAATTGTGTAGCACACTCTCATGCTTTCGTTTTAATCGCAGAAGGCGCCTTTTCAATGACCGTGCGGATGGCTGCTTTGGTGGCGCAAGCGACGGTGATGCTAAGACTGGTGTAGCAGCGCGTGAAGAATGGAAAGGATCATTCGCTCTTGGTCGTCGACGAGTCGGGGATGAAGCAATTGAGGACCCCTACGCGCTATATTAGTGCCACCATTGAAGGAATACAAACCCCATATCGAACATACCGAATTGCTTCTCCTGCGTTGACGGGGCGGCCCGTCTTCCTCGTCGGACTCATCCTCGTCGTCCATCCGCGTCCATGACTTGCGTTTTCTAGAATCTGAACTAGAGGGCTGGTCTACTTCCCCTTCACTGTCCGAATCCTCATCATCAAGGCCCTCGTCGTCCTCATCCACCTCCGGCATCTCTAACAATGCACAGTACGCTTCTCGCTCTTTGTTCATGTCCTCCTCAATATCCCCATCGTCGTAGACAACAATCCCCCCACTACTGGACTTGTACGAGGTAGTAATACATCCCTTGTCCACACCGCGCGTTTTTCGTCGCGCATTGTGATTGATCTCGCCTAGCGCTTGGTCCGTCACGGGCTCGCCACCAAATACATTGGCTAGATTCCACGGCCGCCGCGAATCGAATACCCAGACCTCAACGCCGCCCATGTCCTCGACTTCATCCTCAGGGTCAGAGCTACTCAGACCGAGTATCTCACTAAGGTCCACCAAGCCACCAACCCCTAGACAGACTACCACGCCCCCGCTTCCACCATTTGTGGTCTGCATGGGCTTGACAAGCTCCTCCCCTGCTTGAGAAAGATCGCCATATCCTGAAACCGGATGGATCTTATGGGGTATATAATCGCGTTTTAGCAAGGCAGTGAGGATTCGACAAGCGCAGAGAGCATCGGGCTCCAGGGCCACCAGAATCAACACAGGCGGAGACAGCGGGTGATGTGATCGGAGGAGTTGTAGGTAGAGATGCGATATTAGCTGACGAGGTAGATACATGGCAGACGAGGGGGTCGACGCGAACGAACGGGTGGGAGGAGCTAATAAATACTGAAGTTAGGCCTCCACGAGGCCCTGCTCTAAGCTGAGAAACAGTCAAACCACAGACTTTTCACAGAAGGAAAGTCAATGGTGTTTTGGTAGGCTCCATTCCCTTGGTTGGTGAATCTTCTTACAAAAAGCAATTCGTCGCGAATGTCCAGACGCGTCGGGGGCCGTGCTACACGTGCGGAGATTGCCCTGCCGCCAAGGCCGCGATTGGTTCTTCCTTGTAAATCAATTTCGTGACCCGCATTGCTAAAGTGAGAACCAGGGGGGAAAATTAATGAAAAAATCAATGATTATTATTATCCACATATCGCAGTAGGATTTGTCGTATACAGATTGTCTTCGCTCATAGCCTGTCCTTATGCTATGTTGCACTCTGCTCATACACCGCAGTTCAAATACAGTATGCTCCTGGTGACTCGTTGAAATGCATCGTATATTGGAGCTTCAACCAAAAATGGAAGGATTGGTTCAAAAAATAAAACAAAAAAAAAGCGAAGAAAAAATACATCCAACAACGCCTGTCGGTACTCCTGGGACTAGGTATCACATAATGCAAAACCCCAGGCTGCAGTCATTCTGTACACTGATTGCATAGCAAGTACAACCGAATGCCATGGAGGAATAAAAGAAAAATGGACGATATAGTTGTTATGAATTGTACCCATGATCAAACTGAGGACCCGCCTAAGATTGACCCGGTTACCCAGACAGCAGCGCAGACTCCCAAGACAGAAGCCCCGATCAGTCGCTTCTCCCATGGAGCTTCTTGGGCCATTTTCGCGAGTTCATGGAACTTTTTTGGCGAGCCACGAGGCGGGAGAACTTGTGATTCAGGGTTGGAGGTTGAGACGTAATCATTGACTCCGCGAGACGACTCGTTCTGGTTGGTAAAGTATTCCCGATCGCGTGTACGCCATTTCTCAACCAGTCGTGCAATCTCAATAAGGTTCTCCTTCAGAGACCCTGGACCAGTAGAGGTAGTGTTCTCGACCTCGATGTTCTGAACATTTCCGAAAAAGTCCACGACCGTTCGGAGGCGTCCCTCCTGCTCGGCACCCGGGAACAAATCCCACCGCACCCCGGGTTGTGAGTGAATCTTGGTTTCATCGTACGAGTCAAATAAATCGCCTAATGTCAGTTTCGAGTTCGCACTCGTGACCTGAGTTTCGAGGAACTCAAGTACATAGTACGTCCAGCGGTCAATTACCGCAACTCCAACATCATTATCCGCGTGATGAGAGTATGATGACTGGTCAAGTTCGCTGGACCCGGTCGCAATGATATTAGGCGAATAGAAGTGCGTATACATAGTGTTGGCCTGACAAGTATCGATCATGAACAGTAATTCATGGTAACGCTTCTTCTCCCACATCTGACCGAAGGCATCCGCCAAGTCCCAGGCACCAATCTCTTCGGAGTCTTGAAACTTGAGAAACTGATCTCCTCCATGCCCAGTCATATACACAAGTACATTGCTCCCCGCATCAGACCCAAGGCGTTTGCTCCGTGGGACATCCTCGTCCAGCCGATCGGTCAGAAGGCGAATGAAGTTTTCCACGGTCACCTCATATCCCCGGTAATCCACTTCAATATTGTCTCCATAGAGGTCCACTGCACGATCTGCATTGCTATATACTGTGCCTGGGAACACATTGCGAGGGTTGCAGGCCATATCGTCAGGGAGCATCAAGATAATCTGCGAATCGGGGATTCCGAGGCGCTTGACAGTACGATACAGGGAGAGAACATTTGCGAGATGACGGTAGTTGAACCAGAAGCGTGACGTAGAAACGAGGACGGCCCAGTTGGATGTATGCTCCGATGAAGCTAATGACGCAAAAAAGGCGAGGAGGAAGGGAAGGGCTCTGAGAAGTCCAAGGTAGAGAGACATAATGAACGCTCGAACGTCAAATCATAATAAAAAGAAAGAAGAACAAGACGGAAAGGGATCGCGTGGCCAAAGATAGACGGGCACAGCAACGATAGCGGAATAAAATAGCGAGCGATATAGAGGCAGGATGTCGATTGTTCATGAACAGACGATGCGATGAATAGAGGATGCTTATCAATCCAAGTGGAAAAGGTCAGGCAGAAGGAGTGTCACATCGGGAAACCCACTAAGGCATCCATTGTGACTTGGCAACTTGATCCTGAGGCACAAGTGGGTACTCTACTAATAGTAGCGGCGGCCTGAGGCAAACAATGAGCAAAGCCCTGCGGACCAATCAGGTTAACGTTTCTGGCAGCATTCCATCTATACGTCTTCAGCTCCACCCTATTGGCTCAATCGGCTATAATATACATCGCCAGGATCATCTTAGAAGCACTCTTGGAATTTTGAATACATGGTAGATTACAGTGCATAAACCCAATCATGGTAGGTGAATATAAGAACAAGGAATTCCTTTATCCCTTGATCTCCATCGTTGATTAAAACTCAGTGTGTCAAAACTGTTCCTACCGATCCTCAATAGCTACAACTACTACTCGCAGAGCACGATGCAGGGAATCATCATCTTTTCTTTATCTATCAGCTCTAATATCTACTTCATTCACTGTTGTCTTCGGCGCAGGAACACTGCCCAAAGAATAGGATTGCTATATATCCTATTCCCAATCTCTGGGTACAATGTATTCTTTCTGGCTCTCTTTGAGACCTGCTTCGTTCCATATGTGGTGAACACATGGCTTCCACCTAAGCTGGCCGATCATGTCAATGCTAATGTCTTCAAAAAACGTTGGACGGTAAAGGACCGCCTCCACAGAAGGTATGGGAAGGTATGGGGGAGTAGATATGCTCGTTACTCGAACTGCCTCAAACCTGTGAGGAAACAATCCGCCAGACCTTTGAAATGGTACGATATTGGAAGGCGAGCATTCTCGAGGCTCTTCATCGTCGGAGTTTATTTTGGCAGACGCACGGGAGGACATTTTGAAATTCGCCCTCAACATTATCTGCAGTGTTGGATATGGAGTAAAGCTTCCTTTCAGGCCCGTGCTTGGATACTCGACTGAAAGTGCGAAAGGCTTGTTCAAGGATTCAGTAACACCTTCGCCGGGCTACCATTTCACATTCCGCTCTACAATAAAGTACTTGAATAAGCACCTAAGCACTATGTTCATAGCCAATGGTATTTTTCCTAAAAGCATTCCATGCTATTTATTGCCGTTTTTCAAGAAAGACTTGGATGCGCTCAATGACATTGGCAAGTATCTTCGGGCTTTGGTCTCAATAGCCGAGGCGAAGGCATCTAGAACCCACAACTTACTTGATGAGCTAGTAGGTTCTAGTCAGATACGAGATGATGAGAGTCTCGACCTAGGACTTACAGATTCTGAGACACTCGGATGTTTATATTCACAATTGCTGGGCATGAAACCACGGCCGTTACTCTTCGATTCGCTTTTATACACCTCGCTCCCCATCAGGATGCACAGGAATATCCGTACGAAGGAATCCAGCAAGCGATATGTGACGAACCCTACAATCCCACGGGAGTGGGACTATAGCAAGTTCTACCCCAAACTCATAAGCCACTGATGTGTAATAGTATGTTATAGATCCTTTCTGTATTGTTGTCATTGTTCCAGGAATAAATGTTGAGACTTTCAGCTTGAGGCGCTTCGGATGTATCCCTCGGTGCTAAGTATTCCCAAGTAGACAGGAAACGCCGCCGTAAATATCACACACAACAATTAACCCTATCTCCTTCCACCGCATACATACACCAGCCTCAACGCTGGTGGGCTGCACCACTCCGAAGGATATTGGGGCTCAGATGCTGCTGTGTTTAGCCCTAAGAGATGGGATAGGCAGAATATGGACAGCTTCCTCGCGAAAGATGATGGAGCAGAGGGTCTATCCGGAACAGGGTTGGATATGACACAATACATAGACCGATCCGCGGCTCGTTTATTCCTTTCAGTGACGGTTCCCAGACCTACAAGGCAAGAGGTTTGCTCAGGTTGAGTTCGTGGGTGCTGCGGCTATCTTGTTCCGTGAGTACTGCGTCACATTGGCGAAATTCAGCGAACATGAGACCGAGTAAGACATACGTCGGAGGACAGAAAAATTATTGCAGATGAGTGATAAAATGCCGCTCTTGTTCAAGAAGCGGTAATGGTGATGTGGCTTAGTTTCATATTTGATGCCATCAATTATGATCTTGATTAACTGTCAACGTCCTTCCTATCGTGTAATAATCTGATAGCCAACTAAAGCTCAGATACTTTCAAAGGTACAGCTTTTCTATGGTAACCCTTGAAAAGTTAACACCTTGTGATCAATAACCATGAGTTGTCTGATGTAGTTGAATGGCGACCTTGCACATAGTGGTGAGATGCATAGGTTCTGGATGTGGACCAAATAACAAACGGGGGAACAGCTACCAGTACGATAGGATATGCCAAGGCTCTCCTAGGGTAACCGATATTCTATGTAGTAATATTGGGGAGGGGATAAATGGCGAACGGAAGATTTATTGAGAGTTATGTTGACAAAGTCGCCAAGCATCTTCCTCAACCCTAAATCAGGGGTTGACGAGGCGCAGCAAGGCATCATTCTATCGTTTGCCAAATAATGGGTAACTCCCAATTCTAACAGTGGTGTAGGTCTACACCCAGACGAGCCATGGCTCGGAAGATGCCCGATACCAGCCTTTTAATACATCTCTACCTACTCTACTATCGTCTCCACTACTCCGGGTCGTCTAACAGCAAAATGATACCAAGCTCTCCGACCTTCGTCAAAACTACGGAGTAATGGCCCGGTTCCTCGTAGGGCAAATAAAGGAAATAGCTTGTAGTCAATGGATCTTAAAATAGAAGAAGGGCATAGGGTGGTGAGCTTCTCAATACACACGCACAGGCCTGACGAGTGCTTTTCCTAAGTCTACATTCTAGCAACACGCGACTTAAGCATTGTATAGCTCCCTCAACAGACTGCCTTTTCGGAGCATCTTCCGCTCTTCAACTGGGTTAGGAGCAGTATGTGACTGGTGGAGATTTGCTTAACGACATTTGGATATCCACCATTTCACTGTACCCAGCACACTCACCGTTTCCATATGCTTTATGTGATAGAGCTTGTGTCCATCCAAATAGCCTGCCAGACGCTGTCTATAACTAAGTTCAAATTATATGGGTGTAGTATACAGCACTTAGTTAGCCTGATAGTCAAATCTTTGGATGTAGATTGGATGTTTGCTTTTGACCCCTTCTACGTACCAAGTTTCTGGGCGGCGAAGACTCGACTGAATTAGTGCCTATAAAGCGGACACTCTATTATAGTAAAGTGTTCAATAGGCTAGCATCTCCGTCCCGCTGAACTATTAGTCCGTTGTGATCTTCTTGGTGCAGCAACTAGCTCGGGTCGTGGGGGGAGGGATTAGGAATACTGAATTGGTCCATCAGAATTTTCACTCCTGGTACGGCCCTCCTGTTCTGATGCTTTACTTTTAGTCCCTTAAAGTCTATAGTTTCACTGCCACATCAGTTATTCAAGAGGTTCAGGAGGCTGTTCAGGTAACGGATGCGTAATTTAGAGCCCTTTAGGCAACACGCTCTGTCCCGAAACAAAGGACATAGGGGGCTAGCTACAGATGGTGAAGACTACTTCAAGTCATTGTACCTGCCACGGACCCGCCATAGTTCTGAATTAGGTCGACACAAAGAGGGCGGAGCATTTCCAACGTGTATCTTGAAACATTCTAGCATGAACGGGAAAATATTCAAACCAAAGCTTGGAGCGGATCCAAGTGGACCAGTTACTTTCGGTCATCTTACCTTTGATCCACGATAGGAGTAAATTCGTATATCCAAGGGTGATACTTAATCTTTTTCCTTGCTGCTTTGGAGGGGACCCCAAGGAAGATTCTTTTCGCCATGGAATATTTGTGGTGGCTCCTGCGCAGGGTCCGGGGTGCCCTGGTGGCCCTCTGGAATTTCCTATGGCTACAACCTCTACTTTCGTTCTTTACTACTTCCCTAGTCGTTCTTTTGATATCTGTTGTTCACTCATTCACCGAATTTTCTGTTAACCTGAAGGCACATTCGCTCTCTCTCAACAATTTCTCTCCTGCGTATGTCACAGCACTCAACGAGTCTATCAGTCTTGGTCAGCCCATCCAGTTCAATCCCGCGGACAACGAAACTTCTCGTGCCTCCATCCCACGAATTATCCACCGAACGTACAAGACGGAAAACATCCCTTCGCACTGGAAAGAGACCTATGAGTCCTGTCGCACGGTTAACCCAACTTACGAGCAATTCTTTTGGACGGACGAGACTTCTCGTCAGTTCATTGAAACCCATTTTGACTGGTTCCTCCCAACCTACGATGCCTATTCATACAATATTCAACGCGCGGATGCCATCCGCTACTTCATCCTATGGTATTACGGTGGCGTGTATATCGACATGGACATAGCCTGTCGGCGGCCACTGGATCCGCTGCTAGACTTCTCTTCCTGGATGCCCAAGACTCAACCCTATGGCGTCAGCAACGATATAATGGCGAGTACACCTGGGCATCCATTTATCACGAAACTTGCTTTAGGCCTGCATGACCACGACGGGTTTTACCTGTCCAAGTATATCACCGTGTTCTTTACAACCGGGCCCATGTATCTCAGCATCACTTTAACAGGATGGTTTCGAAAGGTACAAAATGGCCCACACCAGCAGATCACTATGCCGCACGGTGTTGCCATACTGCCTTCGATGATGTACGACACCACTGCATACTCATTCTTTAGGCACGCTCCAGGATCCACGTGGCATGGAAACGATGTAGCGGCTGTCAGTTACCTCTATAAGCACTGGCGCGAGATCTGTCTTGGCACAGTTATACTTGGCTTGATAGCCTTGATGATCTTTATTTTGCGGGTCAAAAGAAGACGAGCGAAATATACTTTGATACTAGACAGACAAGATGTGGAAACAGGTCAATTGTGATAATGTGTTAGGAGACTTACCCAAGAATTTGGGTACGAACATTCTTTTTTTCTTTTCTTTTCTTTTCTTTTCTTACTTTCCCCTTTTTATTTCATTTCCTTATTATATTGGATTGGTTATCTGTTCTCTCCTTTGCGGCGCAAAATAAAGCGTAGAGCATGTTTTCCTTTGTACATATACGTTTGCGGATTTGATATACCCCGCGCTTTGGAATAGAATTATTATTTACACGGAGTATATCTTTGAAGCCTAGGGCGTGAGGATATACCGTATAGCACCAACAGCAAAGGGGGGCTCATACAACAATTCCAAGACAGTCAAGCTTCCCAACAGGTGGCTTGGCAGATCTCCCATTTTGCCCATAGAAAATCTCGAGACTCTTCCGCTTACATGCGCGACTCGCTTACGAATACGTTACAAAGTACAAGCAAATCGCGCTACACAGGAGGCCCCCAAAGCCTAATTGATTGGGGCCCTTCTGGGGTTGTCGAACCCTAGAACTGTTGTGGCCCTAATTTCCAGCGCTTCTCCACTTAACGAAGGCAGTGCCGCAGTGCGGAGGGTAAAACATGCTGCGCCTCTCGTCGGACTTAGACATAAAGTTCTATGTAATAGGGCTTCTGGGATAAAACTAGACCGAACCAAATAAAGGATGGTTGGATCGTGTAGTTCGGACAGGTTCCTACAAGGTATAACGCTGATCTCCAATTCTCAAAGTTTATACCGTCCGCCGATGGAGGAATCGCATGTTTCAAACTTTCAACGGGATAAGTAGTGGATTATATGATAATCTCGCTCCTGGTCGGACAGACTGTTTTCCTGAGCCTACAGACCAATTCTACTTTAAAGCTTGGGGAAAGGGACCGTACTAGCAACCACTTACTACTGCTGTTACGTAGGACATAGTATCTCGAGGGTCCTAGGATATCCAGTGATATGTACTCGATTAGAGAAAGCGTATGAGCGCAGTGAAGCAAACAGCAAATAGTCTGGTCAGCACTGCCAAGCTTCGAAGGCTCCACCGATTCTGCCTTGACTGTCAGAGCAGGGTTTGAATAGCAGGGCTGCCTTGAGCCACAAATCTCTGATTCCTGAATCAGTCAGCCCGATCTCCTCGTCTCGGAAGTGGTAACATGGCACTTGTCCCTGTCTAGAACGGATGTTTCACATCTCCCAGAGTATCTGCATCTCTCTTGCCTTGAACGGTATATACCAGTAGTGGAGCTGTGTATTACCCTGCTTAGTGGCATGGAATAAGAGAATCCATAAATTCTCTCAGAGAAACACAAAATATGTAGGGCTCAGCAGAACCATCTTGAAGAATACGATTCTCTCATGATGCATGTAGAGCATGATACTAACATAGCCCCTTCCCCCTCCCAACCATCGTTTTGGGATATCATCTCTACAACCGGGATCTTTCTCGCACATGGTCATCGCTGTCCAAGACTCCACATATTCCATGACAGAGGTATTTTCTGCTCTTGGCTATATTTTAATCGCTTACACACAAACCCTAGAGCAGTGGAACCGTGAATTTAATCTATTATGTCAATACCCACGACCAATCACTGGCTAAGGGCAGGTACAGATATGGCAATCGTTCAGTCTGACGGTTCGGTCGTGATAGTGCATCCAACCATATGAAAAATTCAACATATCCATTACATATGCGCTCCACCCAGACTCGCATCTAGTTCAATGCCACGATTAACCCCCCTGAATCCCGTATCTCGTGCATTGGGGCCCACGCCATCGTCTGCTTTACAGGTCTCCTGAACGTACCGCTCAATTTTCCGGCGGTGGCCGGAGAATCCATGGAGTGGGCATCTTCGGAAGGCCGTGCTCAATCCACATAACCCATGTGAGGAAGGGACACCATTGGGAAGGCTTTTTTCACCATAGTGGATTGAGTTCTGACCTCGAAGTGTCTTGGCACGGACGTACTCCGTCTATTTCACTTTGACTATATTGATGATATTCGTTTTTAGTCCTATTAACAGCTACATCCCCAAACAGTAGACCCCTATCCATGTCCGGAACATCCTGGGATCCTCATACTCTACCGTAGACATAATATCTTCCTTCTATGCGACATCAAACCTTGGTCAGTCCCAATATCCACATGCTGCTAAGCATCAGGGATTGAGCAGGAACGTAGCGGGGGCGAAGAAGACTCTATGAACTTGTCTCTATTAGCGCCCTTCCATCACTTCCTCGAAAGCACCCATTTCCTTCTCCACCGGAGTCTCGCCATCTGGCCACCGCTATGGAGAACAATCTGTGACCCTAGTGTTAGTTCCTACAAGACACCTTTGGCTATGAGTGAAAATTCTGTACTCATGAGGGCAACTAACCCGATGGGCTGATGCTAGCTAGATAGTCATAGAGGCTTAGCTCATACTGCCAAGCTGAATCTCCTTGTCACTAATATCATGCGTTAGAATTTTTCATGTCTTTTCTCGCTAATTAGCCGCGCAGACCGAGCACCATGTTCAGGGATGCCCTCTGGGGTCTCTTCTCCCCTTGCCTATATGTCAATGTTAACATGGTTGTAAGAAGCTTTGAAAGAACCTTTTCTGTGTCTGAGATATGTTGAGCCACGAGAACTGGTACCTGACTGCGTTACTGTCGAACATAGAGGTAAGTGGTCTTCAAGATTCACTAATAAGTCGACATAAACAAGTCCATTGAACAGCTACCTAGCCTGGATGGTATGACTGAACATTTCTTCATAGTATTACTCCATGATGAATCCTGTCAAGATGTAGCTAACTCGATATGCTGTACGTATAGTAGGCTTATCCGCATCACCCTCATCCTTCTTCACGCAACCATTGGAATATTAAACCTACCAACACTCTCACTCTTCTCCCCATCGACCCTTCGATACCATCCTACTTCCCATTCTAAGCACCGAAGCGCAGAGAAACGTGATCCTAAACAACGCCACACCCAACGCCCAACTACCACGCAACCTATCCAAATAAGCAAATCGTGCCCCGAGAAGCTCTTCGCCGCCAAAGCCCTATGTTAGATTTTTATTTAGGTATGATGCTCATCATAAAGAAACCAAGCGTTTCCAGTAGAGAAAATGGCGCTCCTTTCTCCCTTGACCTGTTTCCCTTCCATCATGGTACCCGCTAGATACAGCATCCACAGCGACCTCATAGAACTTCAACATCCAGGCTGCGCCTTCTACCATAGCTCTGGGCAATTCAGTAGTGCCGGACGAACTCGTCAAGCTAGAAGGGTGTAGAATGGCGTTGAGAATCTAGGTTGTTTTGGACAGACTGTTGCATTCGTGAGGCATATTTCATAAAAAGAAAATGGGGTTCGATAAAATCGAATTAGGCCTTGATTTTTTCTTACAATTCGGTCGGCCTTGAGTTGTTCATCGTCAGGCCGTTTAATCTATCTCAGAGGGGACCTAGTTCGATCTTGTCTAAGAGTATTTTTTTCTAATTACTAGTTCTCAAGCCCGTCTACGCTGTCTATGATATGCATGCATCTTATCCATGCTAACAGTGCTGAGTAGTATAATTCTACCTTACTTCTTAAGTTAGCTAATATGCGGAACAGTGACGGTTCTTCCAACATGGCATATATCAGCATATAGCACACAGTTAATCGACCACAAGGAAGAATCAAGCTGCAACCGCTATCAACGTACCTCAAGTTCAGCTTTATCGGATACTCTATGAACAGCAGACACAATGAAATCATTCTTATTGTAGTTGAAGACGTGTAGGCAGTTGAAGATATCTCCAGTAAAGATAGGAATCACGTAACGATCAAAGCGGGAAGAAAGGTCCTGGAACGAGCCACGCAGACCTAACTTTGACCTCCTCTCTACCCTCCTTTGTCAAATCTCATATTGAAACAATCTATATAGTGTATAATGGCGGAGGATCCTAAGCCTAGCGCCAAAGGCCTTGATAGAAAACCATATATGTGATGTAAATAGGCCTTCAACACGAAACAATGAGAAGCTTTAATATCTTCGCGACCTGATAGCGAAGAACGAGACATGAAATGCAGCAAAGGCTTCGCTTTGCAACTATAGCATAACAGCCGGAGACTGGATGTTTCTGCAAGGCTCAAATACGATACACATCTATCATGACCTGTCTTGCAGCAAGAGAGAGAAAAAAAAAAAATAAAAAAATTCTATTGAAAACAAATACTTAACGCAAATCTAGTAGCATATGATACACCAAACTAGTCATACAGTGATAATCTATTTGGAGATCTCAACACCACCGGTGGCACCCAAGATACGCTTGATGTCACCGTAGATGGCGAACTGACCAGCGGTGAGGGTTCCAACCATGAACAATCTCGCGCCGATACCAGCATAGCTGCCACGGAATCCGAGCTCCTTGCCGATCTTGACGAGACGAGAGACGGTACCCTCACCAGGCTCACCAGGGGTCTTGTTGATCTTGCTCAGCATAGTGTCAGCGGGCTGAGAGACGAGAGCGGCAGCGAAACCAGCAATGAGACCAGAGCCAAGGTTGATAGCGGTCTTAGAGCCATCGCTGAGGGACTCCTTGTCGAACTGGCGGTAGATAGCCTCAGAAACCTTCTCGAAAACGACGAACTTGGACATGGTGTAGGGAACCCTATAATTCTAATTAGGATCGATGCCGATACTCGTTGAGACGGGCGCGAACTTACTGCTTGAAGAGAATGGGTCCGAATCCAGAGTAGAAAGCGCCAACACCCTCGTTCTTGAGGATCTTAGTGAAACCGCTGAGGAGACCAGTAGCGAAAGTGGGCTGAGAGACGAGACGGATACGGGTGGCTTCAAGAGGGCAAAGGGCGATATCGGCGAAGAACTCGGCGGCGGCGGAAGAGGCAAGGTAGACAGCGGTACGGTTGTTAGAGGCAGTCTCGAGACCGAGCTGGTTGATCCACTGCTGCTTGAAGAACTCATAACCACCGAACTTGAAAGCACCCTGGAGGAAGTAACCGGCGGCGGTAGGACCGAAACCAGTAAGGAGAGCGCCAGCACCCTCGTTGGCAATGACTTGACGGAAACCACCGATCATGCCACGGTTGTAGGTGACGGGGTCAAGCTGGATTCTGGTCTTGACGCTGTACAGCAGGAAAAAAATCGAACGTCAGTACAAACACTCGTGAAACATGATCCCAGACACGGCGGGAGTAGCGGAATCAAGCGCGATCGATGCGAATAGGGCGACACAATTGAAACTTACACATCGACAGGAGTAAGAGCTCCGTGGGTGACGGAGCAGCAGACAGCACCAGCGAAGGCGAACTTGGAGTAGAGCTGAAGGCCGCTGGGGGCGACGGATTCGGGCTTAGAGGCCATTATTAGATTATATGAGGATCGTATCCTGCTCTAAACACAAAAAAGAAAAAGGAGGAGAGGAGTGGGGAGATGTGCTGAAATTGGCAGCAATTGAGGCTTTCCAATGCAGAGATTGGGATGGGAAGAAAATGAAGGAGGATAGATTTGAAAGGGATGGTTTCGGCACTAGTCGCACCGCGACCCGAAAACTTTTCGCGGGCCAATGCGGGTTTGACGGTCGCTTGCCACCATTAAATCCGATCGCCCGGTCAACAATAAACTTGATATAGAAAACCCTTTTTCGTTTCTCTTATTACTTTGCTAATCTGCTCGAATTGAATTTCTGTTTAGTCTAATATTTCTCTTTCATTTAAAAAATTCTCTTTCCTTGCGTTGCGGTCAATAGGGGGGAGGCGAAAAAAAAAAATTCAAGAAATAAACGTGTTCGGTGAGAACGATGATGCATTGATATCCTTCCGCATCTGATATTGGCAATCTGGCAGCCTGAGGCATTCAATTCCCGCGCCTTGCCGAGACTCGAGGCTCGAGACAAGTACAATGACCCATTGCCTCCTGTAATCACAGAGCCGAAAAATGGACCGGACTGAGGTCCTATCATTTCATTTGTTGTTACCTGTTTCTGGGCAATTGTTACTCAATATCTTACTTAATATCTCTTGGCCATCCCAAGTTCTTCCCGGGTTTGATATGTCATTGCCCTTGGATCCACCCAGTACACCTCAGGCAGCCCGGGATGACTATGCCGTCTCTGATTGGTGCAATATCTACTGTGCAACGTCAGTCTAAAATTAGGCTGAAAAAAAAAGAGACCCGAAAGAAAATTGAAAGAAAATGAAATTAAACAAAAATTAAAATTAAGACGCCATCACCATAACAAAGGTCAAGTCTTATAACTCGCCGATTGTGGATTTAATCACGAAGCTTTGCTGGTGACATGGATATTGACCGCTTTGTTCATTCCCTCTTGTAGAGAAGGAAAAAGAAAAAAAAGACAATTACAATCAGGTTATCAGCAGAAATTAAACAAAAGGAATTCCGTTTACACTGGTCTATATCCACTTAACTCTTGACAGCAATTCTATCATGTCTCTTCAAGGTCACCAAGAATCTGACTCGTGTGACGCGCTGACTGCTTCGGTACTGAAGTAGTTGATACGTCTCTTATGGCAAAAGATGCATAATGACGTCCCTTCGTCCTAGTTATGCCTGTCAAAAATCTCTAAGTCTAGTGATCAAGCCCTCTCGCTCATTACATTCGTAACCTCTCTTGACACAGCTTTCGTTCTCTTCAGACCATCAATGTTACCCCTCCCGTCGTGGTGTGATCCCAAAGCAAGAAAGGAATGGAGAAAATGGAAGAAGATTAAAAGTCGGTCTCCTGCCTCTCCATAGGTGACTATTCTGTTTTAGTCTGTAGAATACTAACCACTACATGACTATGCGCAGAAGACGCAAAGCATCTAGACAAACTCCCATCATGGGATGCCCCCGACAATTCACTCATGCTACAGGGGTTCGAATGGCACGGCCTAGATGACCAGGGACATTGGAAACGTCTTCAAAACTCATTATTGGATCTAAAATCCATCGGTGTTGACAACATCTGGATACCACCGGGGTGTAAAGCCATGAACCCCTCCGGCAATGGCTATGATATCTATGATCTATACGACCTGGGAGAGTTTGATCAGAAGGGGTCACGACCTACAAAATGGGGTAGCAAGGCAGAACTCCAATCGCTAGCTTCCTCTGCGCGGAATCTCGGCATTGGGATCTACTGGGATGCGGTCCTTAACCACAAGGCTGGAGCAGATTATCCGGAACGATTTCCAGCGGTCAAAGTGGACCCGAAAGGTATGATCTCGAGTCTGATGGTTGTGGTAATCTATCAAAAGTCTAGCTAATGTTCCAGCTTGGAGAAAAGAGCGCAATATCGAAATCTCCACTGCAAAAGAAATTGAAGGCTGGACAGGATTCAATTTTCCTGGTCGCGACAGCATGTATAGTTCCATGAGATATCGTTGGCACCATTTCAGCGGTGTTGACCGGGATGAAGCTCGGAAGCAAAATGCAATATACAAGGTTGCGAACAAAAGATGGTCCGAGGACGTTGCGCATGAGAAGGGAAATTATGACTATCTCATGTTCGCCGACTTAGACTATTCCAACACAGAAGTCCAGAAAGACGTTCTTCGGTGGGGAGAATGGATAGGAAGCCAACTACCTCTCAGTGGTATGAGGTTGGATGCGTGCAAGCATTACTCGGCTGATTTCCAGAAAAGATTTGTTAGTCACGTACGAGCAACTGTTGGGCCGCAATTTTTCTTCGTTGCGGAGTACTGGAGCGGCGATGTCAGGGTTCTTATGCACTATCTACAAAAGATGGATTACCAACTGTCGCTATTTGACGCTCCCCTAGTTGGGCGTTTCTCACGGATCTCGCGTACTGGAGGGGCAGATCTTCGCAAGATCTTCGACGATACGCTACTTGAGAGAAGTCCTGCACACGCAGTTGTAAGACCCTTCTGGTGGTATACCTTGCATGCCTGATGCTTACCGTCTGAATAGACTCTGGTTATGAATCATGATACAGTAAGAGAAAATGAAGTCATGCCTCGGTGTTCCTGGTGATGCTGATTGCTATTTTGTAGCAACCAGGCCAGTCCCTAGAGGTAGGAAATACAGCTCGTATTAGTTTTAGTACTACGTATCTAACATTATATACAGGCACCAATTGCATCGTTCTTTAAGCCCTTCGCGTATGCCTTGATCCTACTCCGAGACAAGGGACAGCCATGTATATTTTATGGAGATCTTTACGGGATCAGACGCGGCGTCAAAAACCCAATGACCCCTTCCTGTGGCGGGAAACTTCCCGTTCTTGCACGGGCTCGAAAGCTTTACGCTTACGGCGAACAGTGTGATTATTTTGATCAGGCGAATTGCATAGGTGTGTCCCCCATATAGTGTGCGCAATTCTGGTTCGTGGCCGCCTGACAATCGGAAGGATTCGTGCGCTATGGCAATCTACGCCACCCGTCTGGCTTAGCGTGCATCATGAGCAATACGGGTGCATCCCAGAAACGTATGTACGTCGGACGAAACCACGCCAAGGAGCAATGGACCGATATATTGGGGTGGCACCCAGAGACGGTTACTATTGACAAAAAGGGTTACGGAATCTTCCCTGTTTTTGCAATGCAGGTGGGCGTCTGGGTCAACTCTACCGCAGAAGGCAGGGAAAGTCTTGAACAGTCTTTGTTAGTACCTTGCCATCCATCCCTTCATAAACTCTCTATTTATAAGGCTCCCTCAAGCTAATCGAACGATAGTGAGGAGGAAGTCTACGGGAAGTAGCCCTCCTGTTAGTCCTAGTAATAACTGGAAAGGTGTGCAATACCATATGGTTCAGCAGCGGCTTAGGCATTTAATTCTATTCAATTATCTGACTCGATGGTCGGTCAAATTATTACTTACTAAATCAATTATAAATACTAATATAGTTTTCAAGCTTAGTGACGTACTATCGTTGGGTTCTTGAAGATATAAAAAGGGCTTTGGCCGGTCCCCGCACACTGTTTTAGGAGTTATGGGTTACGAGCAAGGTTATGTTGTGTCTACATTAGCAATGCTACTGTATGCGAATAATGGTTCTTTTTTCAGAACCTTGGAGGGTCCGCTGAGCTATCGGTATGGATCCTCCTCCAGATAGTGGGTAGTATATAGCAGATTCAACTTTACGCGTACAACGATTCCACATGATGTCCCCGTGGTGGTCCCGTGTTTCACCAGGGACTGTCTATCAATATTCAGTTTGGGTCACAGACAGCAAGTGAGCATATAGACAAATGTCGCTTCTTTTGCAAGTATACCATCTCATGCTTCTTCCATAATTATGCAGTTATACAGCTACACAGGATGTTCATCGCACCCAACCAAAGTGTTGCTGCAGTCTAACATTACCTTAGGGTGTCCATTCGCGTCAGCAGTTCGGGAGGTCGATCACCACAGACTTGCTAGTAAGTAAATTGTGCTCCACTATTTGAGTCAGGAGTTATCCGTAGTTTACTCAGGTTCTCGCTTAGTGCTACTCAGGAATGCTCGTCTTGACGTGGCTCCATCCACTCCAAAGGATCTATTGCCCATGCATAAGAGAACTAGTGCCCTTACAACGACGAGGTTTCAGATGAGATTAGAAGTGATGTAAAGGACTAAGCTTGAATGATTCTAGTTCAGGGAGAGATGATCGCTATCTCGAAGAGTGAGCTCGATACTATCACAGTGGCGGATCTACTTCCGAAAGGAAAAAAACCGGTGTAAGGGGCTTTGGGAATATTAACGGTAGGGAACTCCACACAAAAACCAATTTTGGTAACAGTTCCTAAGCATTCTTAAGTTAAGCAGGGTCTATAGGGCCTAGCTCATCAAGTTGAGCAACGTATCGAGACAGCGCTTCATGGTCCAATCTCGTTCCACCACTAAAGATTACGAATGTCTCACGGAAGAATGATACCTGCTTTAAACAACCTTTCTAGATTAACGTTGAGTTTAATTAAAGGGTATGACAAAGGGGAACTCGTTTCTTCTGTGGCAACCCTGAGCTCAAAGCACCGGGACTTAAGGTTAGTCCCTTAAAGTATGCTGGTCTATCTACTACTACTAGTCCTCAGAGTACCAAACGAAGTTTAACCATGCCTTGTTCAAGTATCGCGGTATCTCTTTATCTACTTTTTGCGCGTCGGTTGATCTGTGAATGGCGGGCACCTGCGTGTAAGTAGATCAACGTACGTAGTTTCTTAATTGAGAACAAGAGGCACTACTAATTCCAAATGTACAGAGGCTCACATATGTATAGAGCAAATCTTGATCCACTACGCCTCTTTACAATGATGTGTGATATCGCAGGAGTGAGCTTAAAAAATCTTTTGACTATCATTGATGACGACTTCTAGCTGTTTTTCGCGGACTCGTTGAGGACCACAACCTTGAGTGACCGTTTATTAAAACCCGACTCCCCAAGGCTTCATGAAGTTACGGTACAATGTAGGATCCACAGAAAAGCTGGAAGTCAATATATCAGCATGTCTAACGTCACACTGTCACGACATGAAAGGGACACAGGAAACGGTCTGTTCCACAATGCTCGAACAGGTCTCACATTTTTAGCTGATATATGTATTAGAAACAATATGTTCGTCGGAATTCTCCCCTAGCTTCCCTGAGATTGGTCGAGGTGATGGCTGCTGTACTTCTCAGAGTCAACCTAGAACCTCCTTTCCCGGCGTTACCATGACATGGAATCAAAAATAGTGGTTGCTTTTGAGCCGAACGATTCTGATCACCCTAACAACTGGCCAAAGGTACCGTATAACAGTCAGAAGCTTTCTTTACAAATGGGCTTAGTGATTTATATTAAAATATTAGACTTGGAGGGTATTTGTGCTTGTTACTGGTCCCAATGAGGTCATGAACAGCACTATCGGGTCATCAGTCACAGGTAGAGCACAAATGCAATCGCTCAGGAATTCAACGTGACGAATCAGCAGATCCCTGTGCTTCTGATCTCTATGTTCCTTGTCGGTTACATCCTGGGACCTCTATTGTGGGGACCTTTTCCGAGGCTAAGGGACGAATGTCTCCTTTATTGATAGTTTTTTTCTCTATATACCACCTTCATGATGGTGGCGTCTGCCTTGGTAAAGTCGTATCCGTCTCTACTTATCTTCAGATTGCTTGACTGAATGGCAGCTTCGGCACCTATTGCTGTCATCGGTGGCACCTATGCCGATATAGAGGCAGATCCTACAACCCGTGGTCAACTAATGGCTTCCTACATGACGGTAAATATGCTATTGTCCACGCTACTGCGGATCGAATATACCGGGATGTTAACCTATTTGCATAGGTTACAACCATCGGTCCTATCCTGGGACCCTCTAGCATCAGGTTTCCTTGCGCGTTACAGCTGGAGATTATGTTTTTGGTTTGGGTCTCGCGTATGCGGGGACCAGTCTACCCATGGCTCTCCTGATGCCTGAATCCTACCCATTGGTTTTCCAAGGTTGGTTGTGGTCATAGACATTTATTTTCTTTTCTAACTTTACTACCCTCCCCTTGATTCCTTCTAGCTTTTGTCATGATCCTTCTGGTGCATCTACAACCGTCCCTTATTTGAAACTGCGCATCATTTTTACTAACCCAGGAAATGAACAGGTATTTAGGGCATGACCCCAGCTATACCGGACTTTGTTTTCTTCTCAGTAAGCCCCGTAATGCCCTAGATTCTAAGAATTGTACTAACTTCCAAGCTTAGTCGGTGTCGGCGCAGTATTTGGTTGTGTAGTATTTGTCTGGTATGGCCGCTTCTTACCCCGAGCAAAAGCCCGAGATGCGAAATAGGCTCATATTGAAGAATACCCTCCTCTCGCATGCCTTGGAGGGCCATTATACGTTATAGCTATCATTTTCATGGGCTGGACTGCTACCCAACGTCCACTGGGCAGTTCCTGCTTTATCCGGTGTTCCGTTCGGGGCAGGGTATCTGTTGAATTTCATGGCTATGATCAATTACCTTGCTGACGCCTACGAGACCTACACTGCTAGCGCTATGTCGGCATCTGCTTGTACACGGAGCATTTTAGGGGCTATGTTGCCATTAGCGACCAAGCCACTGTTCGATTGACTTGGAGCAAACTGGGCCTACATCCTGGTAGCATTTTCCAGCCTCGGGGTTACAGCAATACCTTTTGTCTTCATTCTTTATGGGAATCGCATCAGGGAAAGAAGCAAATTCTGTCAAGAAATCAAGCGACTGAAAGGCGCCGAGGCTCTAGAACAACGAGCAGATAGAAACATGGGAGAAGTATCTATGGTACATGGCAAATCCAAGGACTTAGAGAAGCAGGTAGGTCGACATTAGTGATTTAAATCCTAGGCCTACAACTGCCACTACCGTTTAGAATGAAGGTCAAAATCTTTTGTTTTCTCTCTCTCTTTATTTTCTTCTTCTTTATCTATTAAACCCACATTGTTCATATATGAACTTCTCTTACTTTGGTTAAAATTGAAGGGGGAAATGGTCGCATTTCTTCATGCATAACAAGGGTTACTATTTTTATCCTGCATATCAAGATAGTTAGAAATGCTGGCTTAGCGGTCAAAGAAGGGTTCTCTCGGGTATCGTGACCTTTGGTATACCTATGGCTGAGTGATGATTAACTCTCCGGAATGATCAATTCAAGTCAATCCAATTCTTCTAACTGATTCCAGTGATTCAATTGAGGGGTGGAAGAATTGTGGAGAGAAAATCCCCTGTTGAGTGCATATCGAAGAGCCAATCCGAGAGCTCCAGAGGGGATGATTTACAGTCTAAAGCTGATTTCTGTTCCACACCCTGTCACGCCGCATTTCTTTACTTAAAAGTTAACTCCCTGCCTCTCACTATCTGTTTCTCTCCTTGGTTTTCTTTTCTCTTTTTATGTCTTTGCACTACGATCAATGTCTCGCCTACCACCACTATCTTGATGTTGTGGTTGCTGTCCTTCGTTTATCAGCATCGCTCTCTACCTTAATCGTTCTAAGAGCCGTCAACTAATATCAATACTATTGCTACCACCAAACCTTGTTATCCATATCGCCTATATTAGACCTACTGATCTCTTTCAGTACATATATAATAATATTAGACCGTCCCTCATATGATTTCACAAGAAACAAATGGATTCGCCTCAGTATCAAGAGCTCGGGCGCGTGTCGCAAGAGCAGCCGCCGAGCGATAGCGAAACGGTCCGAGCGGCATGGAGATTCCTGGCAGGTTTATCATCGAATTTAGCGCTTGTAGGGTACGTTCCTGCCCTCCTACTCGTTAGCCCCCATAATGATGGCTGATATAGCATCGCAAAGGTTCCTGGTAATCCCTCTAGCATTTAGAGGCTCCAAGGATGACCCTACAGGGGACAAAACAGGCACAGTGATAGCAGCATTGGCATTGATCGGGAACGCATACGTTCTGTCGTTCATTTTATTCTGCGCTCAGTATCAGAAGCGTACATATTTGCTTCATTCTGTCTTGCTGTAAATGCCCGATGCTTTTTATTTAAACCCTTGAATCGCAACCTCACAATGACACAGGCCTTGTCTATTTTCCAACCTCATCGGTCTGCTGAACGTTGTTCTCAATATTCTCTGTCGAAACTTACTTCCCATCAGTGGCTTGGAAACTGTGGGTATGGCTCTTGCCGCCGGCTCTGCAGTCGTCTACGCGCTGTGCGCATTATGGACCTACGGAAGAGACATCGCCGACGAAATACGAGTTGACATATCCGACCGCACAACGGTACCTCCCACCGAAGAGGAGATGCAACGACAACAGCTCCTGCAGCTTCTTCAAGAGAACAAGAGTAAAAAGAGACTGGGCTCCAAGGTTGTTCAAAAGACATTCCAGATTAACGTTCCGGAGCACATAAACCCCGGGAAAGGATGGAATTCCTTTATGCCTCCTCCTCGTGAGGACAACTATTATCGCTGATCTGGTCAACCCTGTGGAAACACCGATGGTAAGAAAAGAAGGGGAAACCTTACTGCAAATAAACTACGCTTTTCCTCGTCTTCCCCCGGGGGGTTTCACGTTCATTCCTCCATACCCAAGCTTACCTTCCTAGACTGTAATCGTCTGAGTGGAGGGGAAACGCCGAGTATGACTTGCATTAGTCTATACACCAATACAAAGAGTTCACGAGTCGAGGATATGGAGGATCTATGGAGAATGCGTATAAGCCGTGAAGATTCAGACCAATAACGCTGGGCATGGCTGATCTGCCGAGGATATTCTGATCATCTCATATTTTGTCCCCAAGCCGAGCAATAGACTTCACATGTCTCACGCAGCTGTACTTACTATGAAGTCTTTGTGCTTATATATTTCTGACTGAGCAGCCGAAGCTCTAAACCATGGTCGGAGATATCTCCCACTTGAGGGTAAAACAAGTAGAGAGTAGAAAGGGGGACGAAGAAGAAGATCGAGAAATTATTATCTCTAGACAAAACAACCATAACATACAGGATACAGAAGTACCGACGGGATTTCGGCACGGAACCATGGATCGACAAGTTGAAGAAACGCCTCGGTTATTACCCGATTAGGAATCTATCGCGTGGAAAATCATCGACATTCTGAAACTCTTCTCCTACCCCCGATAAACTCAGTAAACCTGCTCCTCTTTATTATTTCATTCGATCTTTTATCCTTGTGTATAGACCGACGTATCTCGCTACTCTACAGATAACCATGGCGAAACGGGTAACCCTCTTCGAACCTCCCCCGCTTGATCCTTCTAAAGCCCCGATCGAAAATGTCCTGGAGTTAACCCCCGTGGTAGACATCGGACCAGTACGTCTGTCCCGATCAACACTCCCCTCCCTTGAAATAACCAAATTTCTTCCACTCAACAGGATGTTTTTACCAACACTCGTCCTCTCTGGCACCCCCCTGGAGCGCGGGGCATCTACGGAGGTGCGGCAATTGCCCAGTCGCTCGCCGCCGCGATGCGGACGGTCCCCTCCGACTTCGCTGTCCACAGCATGCACTGCTACTTTGTCCTCGCCGGCGATTCCGAAATCCCGATTCTGTACCATGTCGAGCGAGTGCGTGACGGAAGGAGTTTCATAACCCGTACTGTTCAAGCTAGACAACGGGGTCGACCGATTTTCACCACCACTTTGAGTTTCAGCCGGGCGAATAGCGGCGGGAAGAAGAAACTGGAACATGCAACGTCTATGCCTGCTGTGACACTGCCGGATGATCATTCACCGGGCGTGAAGAAGAGGTTTATGGACACTGAAGGCGGACCATTCGAATCGCACAAACTAGGGACTGTCAACCGTAAGCTTTATGATTTTATGTGCTATGCGATGAAGTCCTGGTCATGCTAATGGGCCCAGGGGAATCGGGCAATCCTGAGGATAAGCGAATCCGACGCTGTAATCGAGCACGCGGAACAATCTCCGAGGCTGGCGGTCATCACGCCCATCTGTCTGCCCTTGCCTATGTGACCGATAGTTATTTCATTGGAACTGTGACGCGCGTTCACGATATCCCTCGATTTTCCTCCCCCGCTGAGCTCAAGGCAGTCTTGAAGGCACTCAAGAATCCGTCCGACTTGGATAACGAAGATATCGCGCGAGCATTCAAGGAGTTGAAGGAAGAGGAGACCGCGGAACTGCGCCGTCGGCTGGAGGGAGCCTTGAGTAAAGCTGAGGATCCGAAAAACAAGGGGAAACACAAGGAAGTTGGCATGATGGTCAGTCTTGATCATTCGATTTACTTTCACAATCCTTGGGCGTTCCGCGCGGACGAGTGGATGCTCACGGAGATGGAGAGCCCTTGGGCAGGCGAGGGAAGAGGATTGGTTCTTCAAAAGATTTGGTCTAAAGATGGAACATTAATCGCCACATGCACACAGGAGGTAAGGCTCCCCATCGTTTCAGTCTAGTCTTGAATCCAATCCACTAACGCAAGGTTTGAATAGGGAGTTGTGAGATTGAAACAAGACGAACCTCCTCGGTCCAAGATATAGACCATTGCGCTGCATTATCCACTACAAATACCCTTCTATCCTGTTTCATGTTGCACACTTTTTTCCCCTATGGCCTCGCAATAGAATAGAGCAAGAGCACCGTCCAATTTGCTTTTTTGATCATAATATTCTGCATATACATTCGGCATATGCATATTCATTTGTACATACATTTCAGTGGACTTTTCTCTGATGTTTAGAATCTAAATCCTGTCATACATAAAGTTGGATATAGCGTACATGGTCGGGAAAGATTCTCATAGCATCAAGGCGTCAACAGGAAGCAAAAGACAAGGCGAAGATTGAGAAACGCTTTCGAAAGCAAGAACAAAAAACAACCATAGTGCCACCCACCCATGAAATGCCCGTTATGCAAAAGAAAGGAAATAATAATGCTACAAGTGTCATACCTCCCAGCCCTCATTTACTTACACCTCCATCATCTCTGCTTCTCTTCCCTTCTCCTTCAGCTTTTCTTCCTCTCGACTTCGCTTTTCGCAAAATTCCAACGCTTTCGCCCCCCAAACTTCTCTTCCCTTGTATTCGCCGACATAGTCAGGCCAGCTCTTAATCTCCTTTACTAAATTTCGCAGTTCCTGCATCGGCAGTTCATCTAAGGTGGTGAGAAAGGTTTTGACGCCGAAGACCAGTGTCCCAGTTCGAGGAAGCCTGCGGAAGGTCTGTCGCTCGCGGCGGACAACGATATCCTCGGGGGATGGGTTGGGATTGTCCTCCAACAACGTCGTGGGGCGATACAGGGTTTCGAACAAGTCTTCATCGGGACGCTTCACTTCGACAAAGTAGTTGGATCGTTCCATCGGTGAAGATGGCGTGAGGCGGTTCAGAAACCTAGTCAAAAGTCAGTTCTGTGTCTTTCGTCCGCAAAGCCCGATCTCCACTAACTTGCTGACAGAAGCGGCGACTTGCTGATGCCACAACGGTACGGGATTGTGAAGCTGGGAGATTGTCCATCCAATTCGCTCCTGTACAGTCCACCCCACCGGAAAGAGACTTGCGCTGGCGGCCCTGCCTTGTCGGTTAGCAGTCATTCCCCTGAAAGTAGGATCTCTTCTAGACTGACAAGTAATATTCGTCGTCCGCATTCTTCATCAGGATGCTAAGATCTTCCATGGTTAGCCTCACGGCTATCTCGAGAGGATCGACTAGGCTGTTCTGCCCCCCAAAGACGAAGGTTTCCCCCGTCATTCTGTTATGAACGGTTGACTCGTCGCCTGACCTCTTGTGTTCGAATTTGTCCGGAAACCGCTGGCACAGGAACTCGACCACTTCTTCCAATGCTTCGAGGCATGCTTCGTATGACTCGGGGAGGCATTGAAGAACTTTTGATTTTTCTTGTTGTAGCAATTGGCTTCGGACCTGGTGCTCGGCAATGTAGTTCTTGTCGATGGTGAGCCAATTCTGGACGTCCAATTTCCGAATATCCATCATGACTCTGTACCTCTCTCTCCCCTTGATGGGTGGGGGTTTAAGGTCCTCGCAACAAGCATCCTGTTGTGGACGGCGTCTGAGCCGAAGCCAAGGAAGATGTTTTTGAAATCTCACAGCAATGAAGGATAGAAAAAGCAAAAAAAGTCCAATGCATGAAAGGGTATTCATCGCCTGGGGTTTTTCTTCCCTCCCGGGATCCAGATATATAAGGAAACAAAAGAAAAAGGGAAAAAAAAAAAAAAGAAAGAAAGAGAGGGTAGTTTTCAGGGAACTTTTAGTTGTCTCTCACTCATCGGACGCCACGACCAGGAATCAACGTTCACGTCAACATGGCGAAACCTTCTTCGGAAGAGGGCAATGGCTCGAAATTTATCTGGCCCATGGACCCTAGGAAATGATGATCGTCTGGGTCAGACGATTACCTACAATGGCTTCTACATTCCTGAATCAGGCAGCTAGGTCGAACTCTGATACGTCCTGGCCTTCCCCGCAAAAAGCCGCAATTCGCCGCTCCAAAAAAAGAAAGGAGGGAAAAGGAACTGACAGCATCCACATGATCGAGTAGACTTTCTCAGCTATCATAACAATTGAGCTTCAGTGGGTCTCTGGGATGGGGGTGGAGAGGAAAGGTCAGGGTAAGTGAACTCTAAGTGGATCAGGGAAGGGCCAGACAAAATGTACTCCACGGCGCAGCGCCTCAGATCCGCAGCTGGGTTACTACTCCGAGTCGATCCATCGTCCGTACAATTGTAATCCCCCCCCCCCCCCCCTCTCCTCGAACTAAGTACGAACTAACTAACTTCATCCACCCCGATCTAAAGGGCTGAGGGTACCTCTGCTCTTCGTCAGGCGGAGTTCACGCGTCTCCCGTCCGTGCGCATAACGATTGGAAAGACCTCGTGAGCTGAACCGAGAGCCTGACTGTAGGGACTGTCTCTCCTGCCTAACAGTTCCTGCAGTTCCGCTCCAGCGATACTCGTCTTTGGATTTCCGGATAGCAGATGCAGAATGCCAATAATGGCATCATGACATCAACCTGGGATTGCGGACAGAAATCGGAAATACCGCACGGTTGCACGACTGGCCTGGAATCTAACCAAACGCACTTTGTACGACAGAATCAATATTGCCTGGGAGCTTCTGGGGCACAGCGCGTGCGCTGATGCGTGGGCCGAGTCCCAATTTGCTGGTCGATGGTCACACAGCTCCAGAGCGTCTGTTATCATAGGTCACCGGGCGGCAGATGGAATCCAGTCCAGGTACCACTGTACATCATGTTCACTGACGTGCTGGGCATGCTAGTCATTCAGAGTACTACGAGTGGCCCATCAACGCTGAGCGACTATGGCACTATCCTTGAGACTAGGATCAGAAGAGAAGGTACGGGGCCGACACTGACGTACCATGAGGGACAAGTCCTTGCAGTCTTTTGGTCCCCGCGAAGCTATGGAAGACTAAAACATGCTAGGGCGGTGCACTGTAGGTACGCCCCAGCCAGTGGCGATCCTCAACTGCTAACTACTTATCTACTTCGGTACGAGATATATATGTACATCCATACTATGTAAATGTGTGTACACTAGACGATCCACCGGCCGACCGAGTCCAGAATTCGGGTTTCTAAGACAGTCGGTTTGGTTGGGCGACTCCACACCCTCCGAAAGTGAACGGATGGATATCTGGGGTTTTGCGCAGCAACCGCTTATCTCGCGCAAAGCGCGCTTGCCGTAATCTTGCCTTTTTTTATTGAAAGTAATGAATGGATTTTCCGGTCAAGCACTAACCAGCCCCCTAGTATAGCGGTGTCTCATTCAAGAATGCGTTTTTTTTTTTTTTTTTGTCAGAGAGAAGTTGTTTTCTGGTTTTTCTTTTTCTTTTTTTTTGTTCCCTACCATTTTGACTTTTATTTTATTTTGTTTTATTTTTGCTTTTTTCTCTCTCTGTCGCATCGTTTCCTTTTCTGGCATGACCTGATTCGATTTTCCGCCTCATTTGCTGTCCCTTTCTTCCTTACAGTTTTTTTCTTTCATTTTCATTTTTATTTTTTTTTCTTTTCTTTTTTTCCCCACACCTTTTCCACCGTCGTTCTCACTCATTCGCAGGACCAAAATCCTAATCCTCCGATTGAACTAGATCTGACTAATGACGTTGCGATAGAATTGCTTTTATCGGACTGCCAACATGTAATCAACACAAACGCACTTCCGAGACCGTCCTGCCTAGTCTGACTGAATAGACCCATAAAAATCAGAGACACCAAGGCCGAATCCTGACCTTGCCCACCGTGCACGAAAGCATCACTATTGACTAGTGATGATCCACTAGTCAACGGGGCATTTACAACCCACCGACCAAACGGCTTTCCTCCATTCTAGATGATAGACTTGTCTAGACAGGCCAGGTGAACTCAGTCGAGACCTTACTCCTCTTGTCTCCTCAGCGACATGTTGTCTGATAGGGGGGCTCCTGGGGCCAATAGTGGGACACCTACTCGTGCTAACCTACTCCAGTATGTAAAGACTGGGGGCTGTGGGCACGGACTTCGCCTCAAAGTCATTGTCAGTGTTGTCGCCAATTCTCTCTTCAGGATGAAGTTCTCTCAGCGGACGGAGTATATCCTCCATTTGCCTACCTCACTGCAGCGGCCTCATCAACGTACATACCTATGAACCTCCGGGAGAAGCGTTTACTCACTTAGGCATCAAGCACGATGAAATCAGAACACATTGCTCTGATCACCTTTTAAATGAAGTACACACCATCTAATCCCCTCCGAATTCATACCTCTATGTACTCTGTACCAGCGAAGGAAGCTTCCAATAACGACAACTACCTATTCCGGAACACTACAGGAGACATCAACCTCCCATAATCTGCACCCCATTTAGTCAATCCACCCCAGTTGCCTGATATACCTATCCCCGTCGTAGTCCTAGATATCTGATACGGATGGCAGACAACCCCCATTAAACCAAAACCGAACAGGCGCAAAATGCCCGAAATCATGCAATCGACGGATCCTCCTCTCCACACCCAGATATATACTAAAGTTCCCTATAGCTAGCTAGATCCCAATAAGTAAAAAGCCACTCTAGATCCACTCAACGCTAGACGCATTGCGTCTCAAGTTGTCTTGACACAAAACGAGGCATGGTATCATTACCTAAGTGTGAATGTCATTCTTTCTCTTTACCTATAGGAGAGCCTGGAACGGCCTACCCGCTCACTTGTTTTCCTCCTTCCGGATCAGCTAAAAAGAAAGTAGTTAGGTAGCTAGACAGGTAATTCAATCCTCTCGCCTTCCGCGCGTATCTGTAGAAGAGGAACGAACCTGATTGATCATTGGAGAATTCGTTTCGTTTGCCCTATCCTTGTAGGATTGGGTTCTATTTACGTGGGATCATCTTCTTAATCCGTCTCTGTCTTCTTTTCTTTTGGTCCGTTTCCGTGTTCCTTCGGGAAAACTTGGGGGAAATTATATAATGCTCGGGTGCGTAGGCCATTGGGCTTCGGTTTGTTTGCTTTGCTTGATATTCAGCTGACCGTTTTGTGTCTCTTGGCTACGGTTTGGGATGGGTTCACTTTGATTCGATGGGTGATCGGTCGTGAGTTCGGGACGGATTATCCAGTTCTGAATTCGTGCGTTAAGTGGAGAGGAGAAAGAGGGATTGAATTTGAGTTACGAAAGAGCAAAAGAGATTCAAATGGATGGAACATGTATCGTGAGTATTGGGTGGTTTTATCATTAACTGGATTAATAAATCAATCAATCATCAAGGTGAGCTCATATAAAGGTATCCAGGAAACATGAAGCATGAACATAAAATAAAGTATAAGAGGTAAACTCCATGATGAAACCATTGGCCGAAAGTTCATGTCAAAAATATCCAATGGTTGAGAAGGGAAATGGATGAGAAGATGGTATAAACGCCCGCCCTGTGCAGTTGCCAGTCAAACAAGTCTGTCAATTGGCAATTTTTTCCTTTTTAAAAATAATGAATCCCTGAGCCTGGATGCCCCCAATTTACCGGAATTTGGCCCGGCAGCGGCCCATAACCTCACCCTGGCAGACGAGTTCGGCACTGAATTCACTGCCGTCGAGGGTGAGGTAGATGTCGAAGTATACACGGTAGAAGACTCCCTGAGGGGTATCCATGCGCTCGAAATCAGTTTCCAAGTTCTTGCGGGATAGATCCGACGTGAGTGTCACAACCTCCTTGATGCCTGTTACACAGTTAGAAGAGCGCGCCGGAATGTATAACACAATGTGTAACTTACGGGGATCTTTCGTGTACTCGGGGCAAACGTCCTCATCACAAGCGTACAGAATATCCTCATACATCAGGGTCGCCCCCGGTGCAACCTGTCGGAAGAAGCTAACCTTGACCGGCTCTCCGATCTTCACCCGCTCACCCTTCTGCACGAAAATTTGTCGTGTGTACTTGCACCGGTCTCTGCCGTCCAAGCTGGGAACACGATATTGCTCTGGGTGATAGCCTTCTTTGAATGGCTGCAATGTGGCCATAAGGTAGTGTCGGCGCGCAACACGATGTGTAATCACCCGTTCCGTGATTCCAGCAGTGACGGCGCCCTTAACAATCGCGGCGACCGAATCCATGGGCCGGACAACCTTGGTTTGGTACTGGGGCGGTACATGGAGCTTGATTTGTTGGAAGAGATACTCGGATGCGCCGAACCCACCCACCACAAGAACGTTCTGCAATGCTAGTTAGTCAAAGACATCTTTGGACGAGTAGTATTTAGTGGTATATGAAACCCTACCTGTAGAGACTTGTTCTGCGCTTGAATGGCGATAATCTGATTGCGCACCAATTCGAGAATACGGTTGACGACGGGTTCAAAACACTGGAGTATCTCTTCGTTGGTGAACGTCATGTATCCCTCCTCGATGCCGGCATCCGGGAAATCGGCTTCGATACCAACATCTACGGCCCACTTTTGCCCATTATTTCGGAAGTCGGCCTTGATGCGGTTCTCAAAGTCCATGATACACTTCGCATACACCTTTCCTGCCGTGCGGGACCCATCAGGGAGCTTCATCTTTCGAATCTTCGCCCGAAGGATATTGCTGAAGTTCCGATTCAGAGCTGTTGAGCCACACGAATCGCCGGAGCCAGCTGTGCATTCCATCACGCTGAAAGGCTGTTCTTCTTCGACCTCGTAAGCGATCAGATCCACGGTTCCGCCACCACAGTCCACGATCAGGATCGCATCGCCAATCTTCAAATTGAGTAACCCGGTCTTCGCACAGAAGAGAGCGGCCGCCTCCGGTTCGGATATCAACGTCAGGCGGTTGTCGTTCTCGTCCCGCAAGAACCCGGCTTGTAAAGCCGCCGCTCGTGTCGCTGCCTTGCCCGCATCGTTCCAGATTGCCGGTACGGTGAGGTAGTATCGGATGTTCCGCTCTTCTCGAGTAAACACCTCTCCGAGGGTCTTCTGTAGCTGAGCGCGCATCGCCTGTCGTAGCTTGAAGAGGTAGTCGGCAGCCACATCAATTTCCGACTTACCGGGCGGCAGCGGCGGCAAATTGATTGGGTCGATGTATGTGTTTCCGGACAGCATGAGCTGGAGTTTGAACCATTCGACCTTCTGTACTCCTTGTTTCGGATAGCCCGTGGGTGCCAACGCATCCGCAATGTCCGGGCCCCATCCCACCACTTTCTGATATTGATCGTAGTATAGGACGGTGGGAATCTAGAAGGAACAGTTGAGTCAGTCGGAGGCATCAGTATTGCAATGCGAAATTGTGAGATCACCTTCTGCTTGGTGTGAGTTCCTGCACCAGGCCACTCCGTAATGATGTCCTCTCTTGCTTCGTTGTTGGTCGCAAAGGCAAATGCGACACCGGAGAATGTCGTGCCAAAATCAATACCGACAATCAACTGGGCCTTACTCCGACCGGCGCCTTCGACCTCGACCGCAGGGTTTCTGATTCCGTACTGGGGCTGAGGCATCCCCGGAGCCATTCCATGAGTCGCGACCTGTTGTTGCATGCCATAACCCGGGGGAGCACCCAAAGGCTGAACCGCCTGTTGCGTGTAGTGCAGGTTGGTGTTCAGTGGTGCGGGATGATGACTCAACTGCTGACCTGGGGGCATCGGGCTGGTCGGTCGCTGGTATGTATAGCTAGGGGGCCGCCCCAGGGGGTTTTGGTTGTTCATGGGGAGACTCGTTGTTGAACCACTATGGTGTGAAGGCGGGGAGCTTGGAGAGGTAGCCGACGACGGTGGGGCGACGAGTGTGCTATTGCTTGATGAATTGGTCTGCTGTTGGACTGGCGCAGGCTGGGAACTGTGCTTATTCCTTTTCGTTCCAAAAGTGAACGATTTGAACCGTGAGCTCATCAGGTCCATATAAACGACCACGATGGGGTCAACGGAGAATTTAAGGAACAAAGGTGGGAGGCGGAGGAGAAGGGAGAGAGAGAGAGGAAGAAGTAATACGAAAAAGAAAACCCGATCGAGCGGAAGAAAAGGCACGAAAGTCAAAAAAAGCGAGAGCGTGAGAGAGGCAGTGCTCTTCTTTGCTTAGGCAGTCAGAAAAGCCTCCCGGGTTACTGTTAGTTTGAGAGTGGGGAGGGGAAGAACAAAACACGGGAGGAACACGAAGTAAAGTAGATCGAAAGAAAAAACCAGTCAGGTAATTAATTGGTTCCCGGATGGTCGCATGGGCGTTTTGGATAGACCTGTAGGGAAACAATGGTTGTTAAAGTAATGGCACAAGAAGTGAATGAGGGAGAGGGAGAGGGAAAAGAGAGAAAGAGGAAAAGAACACCAGTCACGGACCCCCAAACTGATGGATTCCCAATCAGTCCAAGTCAAGTCACTTGTTTATAGATGTAATCACTGGGGAATGTGGCATTATCGATCCCAAGAATTCTCTCCCACTTTTGAATAGGCCGAAAAATAATTCTTTTCGCAATCCGTGTTTATAATATTAGCTCACTTTATATGTGTTAGAATAAAAATAAACTCAAAATAGAAAGAAAAAGAGTAGGGAACAAAACAGCACTTTGTGATGATTTCCCCCAAGATATGATCATGTCATCTTCCGCCCCCAACTGACTATTTTACAGATTGCGGAGACAACCAGTACGGTATGGTATGTTACCCTTTTGGTACGATTAGGCACGATCAATGAAGAGATCCTTCTTCCATATTCAATGTACAGTATCTGTAATATTAGTGGAAACAGATTTGCTGTCAATACTGTTATCTGAACATGAAATAAACAATTTCTTCGTATTCATGCGCTGATAGCTATCCAAACCAAGTCTCCCACTATTTCACCCTTTCTTATTCTTATTTTTGTTCTTATCTTTCTTATCATGAACAATTAACCTTATAGACAGCTATCAGAAAAAGGGTTCACTGGAAAAAGACTCTTGAGGTGAGCCATGGAACCGAAGGATGGACGCCCAAGCAAGCGACAGCCTTACGATTACAGCCACGCTGCTCCGCCCGCACGTTTTCGTTGTCTGCGGCTGAATACCGTATCGCGCTGATCCGTTGGCGACGTACCGTACAGTTTCATACCATTTCCAGCCGCATTCCCATCAAATAGACAGCCTGTAATTTGAGGCAACAAGGCGGACTTACAGAGTACATTAAGTGGATCTCAAACTTCATAAGTTTAGATTCCCTGTATGTAGGTACTCTTCCTAACTTCCCTTTCGATCATTGGGTCTTCTTGCGGGCCACCCAGCGGGATGGCTTGTAGAGTGGCTGAAGCATACTTTGAGGATCCTGTATATAGCCACACAGGGGCCGATCTTCGACTTTCTGCCGCTTCTCGATGCTAAAGCCCATCCGCTCCACAAGGCAGAAGACTTCCTCCTCCGTCAGCTCCACATTTCCAGGCTCCCCAATTCCCTGGTGATCCTCGCGCTCTCCATCCCGGTGGCTGCGGTTGCTGCCGTCCTCGAAATGCCACAGTAACGGGCCGACATTGACCCACACGCCGTTAGGCTTCAGACAGTGCCGGATCGTTTCAATGTATCGGATAAGGTTGGGCGCTGTATCGATGAAGAATACCGTAGCCACCGCCTCGAATGCTTCCTTATTGGATGGGTTGCTGTAGAGCACCACGAAGTCGGCTGCGGACATGCCCATCGTTCCAAAGGGCGTTTGGTTCGTCTGTGCTTCAACTATCGCTACCCCTGGATGTGTGTCTGGGATCATGACTTTCTGGAGCTGTTGCTCTCTCGATAGGAGATTTGAGAAATGGAGCGCAAACGGATACAGCGCATGATGCTTGGGGCCGCACGTATGGTTCAAGACCCAGCTGCTGGCCAGCAATTGATGGTATGAGATTTCGTTGCCCTCGGCAGCAAACCCAGCCTGGCATACTTCAAAAACCAATCGGCCTAGGCCAGCTCCAGGCACGAGCACCCTGATCTCCTCCCCAGCGGCAGGTCGCTCGCCGAACTCATCTTGCAGGTCGCGAACAACGGGTTCCACACAGACTTCTCTCTCCGCTTTCCCCTCAGAGCTCCAGTCGCGGTAGAATTGCCTGATAGTTGAATGGGCTTTGTTAACATCTGAAGAGGTTGCCGTGTCATGCCAATATTGGCGCGGGTTCTCCGGATCGGGGTTTGCTGGTAGCCCAAATGAGGAAAGTCCCGTTGCCAGGATAGCGTCTGCGATATCGGCGTTCACGTCAATGGCATCATCTACGTGGTTGAAATTGTCCAAGATAGAAAACGGTGGCTCCGCCAGCATTTGCCAGTGAGATGATGGAAGAGCATAGAACGCCTGACGCCGGCGATGCGTAGTAGTCATGTGAGCACTTCTTCGATATTGCCTAGTAGAAGTTCAGTTATATTGGTTAAGAATGGGTCAATCTGACTGATTTTCCAAAGTCTGAGCGTTGAAGTTGAGAGTACAGAAACGATAGGAGATGATATACAAGCTCAGACGTAATGAATACAATATTCTTTTGTCTTAAAGAGCTCTCCGTGTCTCCCTTCTGTAACATGCACAGCAGTAAACAGCAATGCAGTCAAGCTATCAACATGCACAAATGCATACCTAAAGGAATCCAGCGCGGCAAAAAGCACTCGCCGCTCATCAGGGTCAGCCAACGGGTCATAATCCCCTGACCAGCTTCGAGCCTCTTCATCATCATGATGTTGCGAATTAGAGACCATGTTGTTTTTGCAGAGCTGTCGTAACCAAAAGAAGCTGTCAATCAAATCTGTACTCTGCACATCCGAAAGATAACCAACGCCAAACATAAAACAGCCCCCTCCAACTGATATTAGCGGCGCATCAAGAAGTGACAATTCAGAGATGTTCTAATTGAGGTTCTAATTGAGGAACGAGGAATGTCAAGATCTGAGAGTGGTGAATAGTGGACCCGCTCAGTTTGGCGGGGAACCAAAGCGGTACCTCCAGGAAACATCTCATTAAATCAGCGAACAACATTTTCATCATCTATCTACATCAACTTTTACAAATACACGCGCGCACAAAACCCAAGCCTTCCAGAAAAAGACGTAGTATACCCCCGACATATCAAGAATAGATATCGATTGAGATTAGTTCATCTTCCAAAAACATGGCGACAGCAGCGGAAGCAGCCATGCCACCTCAAGTTGCAAACGTGGCGCCGCATGTCAAGCCTCAGGAGTTATCATTCCCTCTTCCAAAGGCATTGCATACTACTGCACACATCCAGCTTACCGTACTGGACACATGCGCGATGGTATTCCTGGCTACGTCAACACCGGGTGACTCGGCGGGGTCCGTGAAACCGATGGGAAGCTTCATTTACGCCATGCCGGATGTAAGTTTTTTTTATCTTATTTTTTTTATCTTTTCCCTTTACTCCTTTGATATCTTATCGGACCCTTTCATATGGAGTAGTTGCGAGTTGGAGATGTGGGAAGGAGCCCAGGTAGGAAGTTTGATTGCAAGAATCCTCCTAAGTTATATCAAACCCAAGATATTACCCTATCTACTGCCCATTTTCATACACATTACCATTTCCTAAACCCAGATCACTCACTTGTACCAGCGTACCAACACTCGCAACACCATATCCACAACTCTATACAATATCCCCGGAAGCGTTGAATACACAACCCGGATAGCCAAGATCCTCGCTCGTCGCATGAAAATCCCTGTCTACGTGGGTTCTAGCATCGATCCAACAGCGCTAGGGCTGCTGGTAGAGGAGGAGATGGAGGGCTTAACGAAGATTGTGGATGCAATCATGAAGCGGTGGGAAGAGTCCCAGAAATGAGGGAGACTATAGCATGTTTTGGTGTGGTAGTATCGATGGAGTAACGAAATCTTTGTCTGATGGGTCTCTTTCTTTCTTTCTTTTTCTTTTTGGTTTGTTTGTTTTTCAAATTTTTCTC